GATGAAATTTGCCACCTGGTCAACCTTACTCACTGACATTGGGGCTTTGGCCTGTTTTACTGCTGCTTCTCCTCTATTGCCCCCCCCCCCACCACCCCTTTTCTCTCCTGCTCTGTGAGGGGGCTAGGTGGCGATGATGGAACTGAGGCTGTATCTGTAAGGATTCACCATTGAACAATTGCACCAGGTTCTGAGGAAGAACCGCTTCCCTGAAGGCACTGAATTGTGACGCTTTATTTCATTAAATGGATTCTCATGTCTTTTCAGTACAACATGAAAAAGTTGCCCATTTGGTATCCATCGATCTTTGCGAACTGTGGGCCTGCAAAGCCCTTGGAGACTCTTTTATGAAGAAGAGCCATTCTGATGAACTAAACTATTATTGAGAGCGCAACTGTAAGTGTCACACACCTGACAGGAGAACGGAGTGAGAGTGATGTTCCCTTCGGGGATATTTTATCATTCAGGATCAAGGTCAAGGAATGCATGTGCATGTTGTGCTGTGTACATGCAGCTGTGGTGAGGAATACCGCTGAGACAAGAGGTCCTCTCTCTTAGTCTGCCATGACGCATTACGCCTCACACTGCGGCCGGAGATGAGCTCTCGGCAGGAAGTACCAGCAATTTCATCAAACTAGCAGCTGAGAATTACGCATGAAAAAAATGGCCAATACTGTACTCCTTCATCCAGGTCATTGTTGTTGTCTGAGAACGGCAGTTTACAATCGATTCAATGTCCTGAGAATATCTATGGTTTGACTTTTTTTGTCTGATTACTTTTTATTTTTATTCCTTACTTTTGAAAAACAGATATATGTACTTTATAGTTTTTACTGGGTCAAAAAAAGGATCATATTTGGGGGGCGGGTCGATTTGGATCTTGGGGTCTCCTTATGAAGGTGGAAAAAAACCGAAAGAGCAGCAAGGTGGAGGAAAGACAACAAGAACGCATGAACCGCAAGATATTTCCCATCCGAGAACTTATTTAAGAGAACTGTTTGACATTGTAGGCTCCAAGAATACATGGCGACTGCGTTGTCTGCTGCGATAGACTAAATACCACCAGCTTCTGACCTTAAAAAAAATCTAATCTAACAACATTAATAGGTATGGTGCATTCTCCCAGCTGTAATCATTGGCTAATTTAATGTATTTTTGCAGTTAGTTCACAACATTAGCAAAGTTATATATGAACATTTGAAAAGTGTATCCAAAGATTTTTTTATCCCTTTGCGGCAAATCAAATACATGTAGAAAGTCTAGCGCTTGAAGTACTTGTAGGGGACCAGCAAAATCAAGACAATAATAGCCCGTCTTTATGCGTACCGGGCCTTGACTATTAAATGTGTTCAATATTTACAACATTTATCAACATTTTACAACACTCCTACCTGAGGTCCTTTTCCGAAACACTTGGGTGACATTGCCACAACATACACTGTATGGAAGTGTTTGTTGTTCTTCATTTTTGTGATATCATGTGTGATCATGCAAGATTTCTGCCTTTCTTTTGAGATCTGTGGTGAAACTGAATCTGCTCGACAGGTGATCGGTGCAGCATTGGCCTTGGTACAACTTCTTTATCAGTCTGTCGTGGTAAAGAAGGAGCTAAGCACAAGGGCAAACTTCTTGATTTACCACACTCGATCTATGTTCCAACCCTCAGCTATGACGACGAGCTGTGGGTCGTGGTCAAAAGAACAACATCGCGGGTGCGAGCGGCGAAAATGAGTTTTCTCCACAGGCTCTCCCTTAGAGATAGTTTGATAGCCTCAGTCATCTGGGAGGAGCTCAAAGTAGAACTGCTGCTCCTCCATATAGAGAGGAGAAGGATGAGGTGGCTTGGGCATCGAATCAAGATGTCTCTTGGTGAGATGTTCCGGGCCCCAGGGACAACAGATCCTACAGCTGGCTTGGGAAAGCCTTGCCCCCCCGGCCCCTCCGGCCCCTCACCCCCCGCAATAAGAGCTGGACGAAGTGGCTGGAGAGAGGAACGTCTGGGCTTCCTTGCAACATGACCCCAGATAAGCAGCATAAAATGGATGGATGGTGTTTTGTTGAAATTATTGGCGCACACCCCACACAGCACATACAAAACGGTGAAAAAATTGTTTTTTTTTTAAATCATGTGTGTGGTCTTTCTCAGATCAACAATCTTTTTAGATTTGAAAAATCCTTATGTATGTATCATGCCCAAGATTGCTGCTAGCAAGCCATTTCAGACCCTGTTATCAGGAAAATTTCTCTTAACACACCTCAGACCACAGAATAATCTGATGACATAAAATAGTCTGGCGTTGGATGTCCTTGGTTGGGAAAGTGCAAAATCTTGACAAAAAAATCTAATGGTGAAGAACGGTTTAACATGATCTCCTCACATGTACAGTACTACAAGGCACTCAGTCTTTGTACATGATTACAGCACTTATTTTCAAACATATACTGTGCAAAGTATTTGGAAACCAAGAATTTTTACACTGTCTTTCCACTGTACAGCGTGTGAAAAAAAATGTTCACGTTCAAAAACTGTTGTGTCACCATACTGTAAGTAGCAAAGGGTGTGTTAGTTAACCTTATACACAGTAGACTCCTGGCTTATATTAACACAAAATTAGCGATTCACAGGGAAGGTCACACCTAAGCAGGTCTTCCTCAGGTGGGTGTCTTCCTTTCGTGCTGATTCAGTACAGCCCCAGTTGAAGGTGACCCCTCCCTCGCCTGCTCCTGCTGCCTGTCTCACCACATAATATTGATCCCCCACTCGTCCAACTCACATCCGACTCAAGGATACACGGATTCATTGCTTTCTTGACTTTTCAGATATGGCCCTGTGTAAATGGTGACACCACACGTCACCAGTGAGCTCTTATTGACTCTGTCCGGGTTTCACCACTTAACGGTGGCTTAACTGATCCAAATCGAATCACGCTAAAAAAGGTGAGCATGGGAATGTTGTCGCGTTCGTCTGTCTTGTCGTTGAGATTTCGTGAATTGTGGAGAGGACTAAGAATAGAGCAGACTACAAGTGCAGAATCTAAATGCAGTGGCTGGGAGCAAAGGTTTGGACCACAGATGGGAGAATGTGCCTGCGTAGCCCTGCCCTGTCAAGGGTAAACACACACACACACACACACACACACACACACACACACACACACACACACACACTCAAACATAAACACGTGCACGATATGCACACACACTATTTTTGCCTCACCTTAAAACAGCAGCATGAATATGCATAAAGCCGAAGGACACAGGAGGTATCTAATTAGGCAATCAGTAACTCCCCGATGCAATCCGATGACAGAGGATAGATGTGCCTCGCTTTCTCCTCCCCTCTTGTTAGTCATGCTCCCCATCTACATGCATTCCTACTCAAGGGGTGATCCGAACTTAAAACGATTATTGGCGAATCATGAGAGGGGTAGAGCAGGCTTTGCTGGGTTATTGTTGTAACAAATTCATCACAACATCCTTGACTGCAAAGGGCAACAGAGCACCATACAAAGTCAGGGCCAAGCATACTCATCCGTCACTCCCCTGCATCATGCAGGGACACGCCCTCAACCAATAACACATACCTTGAGGTACTTATGCGCATCCTCGCGCAAACAACTCCAGAAAACATCCATCTGTTTTCCTCGCTGAGATGAGCTGGAGCCAGTCACAGCTGACACCCTGGACTGGTCGCCAGTCAATTGCGGGGGCCTTGAAATACGAGTTTGATTCGATACATAGCCACACTTCTATTTCAAATCATCTTTCTCCAGTGAAATGAACGAGAATGCCATTCACCGTTTTCAGCTGACCAAAAAAGCCAAAATGTTCATTAAAAAGCACTGAATAAGAGTGTACATTTAGGAATGCATATATTACCGATATAATTAAATAAGATGCAATAACATAAACAGTTTTTGTCACATTTTTTTATTTCAACATTGTACTGCTCCTTCTGGAGTGCCGGCCTTGACCACCTGGGGGCAATATTATACAGATGTAGAGATATACGGTTGCAGCTCCTCAGTAAACAGCAGTAAAATTTGTTGCTTTTCGTAAAGGATGAACAATAAATCACTGTGAATATTGTTATATTATCTGTCTACACGTGCTGCTACACCATTTGTGTTCAAATATCTGTCACTTGAAGAGACACTACGACATAGATGCTATTTGTTAGCCTGTCTAAGGCATTTTGCATTGTTTGTTAGCATTAAGCTAAGACAGAACAACAGCTCGTATCGTGAAAAACTTCATGTAAAAAAGTTATTTGCAAATACCAATGCATCAACACATGTAGACAGACAATATCACAATCCTTAGAGACATATCCTGTCGTCTTTACCCTCTGTAGAAAAAGACTAGTACTGTACAATTGAAGCTGACTGAAACGCTGAGAGTCATGGTGACTTTTGTTGTTTGAGTCAATATGACTGTATTATACTGATGTGGCCAAGGCAGGCACACCAGAAGGGGCAGTATAATGAACTGAATTGAAACATAAAAAGCACAAACTGTTTAATTCTTTACATATTATTTAATTCAATTATTATTCAGTTTCACTGTGTCATTGTCCTTAAAACCACACACACACACACACACACACACACACACACACACACACACACACACACACACACACTACGGCAATACTGTTTATATTTTCTGAACAGATTAATGGCATTTTCATTCATCTCACCTTAGGAAGATGATGCGAGACACAAATTCAACTTGTATCTCAGGGCAACATATATATGACAAAATTAATGAAAACAACCACTTGGATGCCTTCACTAGATACAACATGCATATTTTTCAAGGTGCAAACTTTCTGGTTAAGAAAACACGCCTCGCAAGCTTACACGGATCACCTGCTGTGCCCAAACTTCACCTGTTCACGTGACCCGCACCACACATACACATGACATCATGTCCACTGCACGCATGCACGCAACGGATGCTGGTGCAAATCCTGTATCATTCACTGCCTGTTTACTGACCTGCTGTGACGCTGACACACACACATCCTCTTCAAGCAGTTGAGCCGCTCAAAGAGGATCCTTTTGAACGCGTCTATATACATTGCCGGCCGGAAGTGCACGTTAAATCCTGGACTTGCAAATTACTGTTTTGATTTGGAGAAAGCTCAAGCGTGGTGGCTGGAATGAGAAATGCCGCCGCTGCTGCCACCGCGTCCCGAGAAAGAAAACTCGAGAGGATACGCGCGGCTGACGGGATATTTGGACACTAGTGAGAGATGTTGGAGATGGGAAAGGAGAGCGAGAGAGGAGAGAGAGAAGGGAGAGAGAGCGGGATGGCACGTTCATATTGCTCACGCACACACACACAATCTGCTTACAAACATGTCGCTCTATGGATCATGCCTGACATGCTCTTTTAATTTATGACGTCACAACGTAACACACTTTCATTCCAAATAAGCTCTTACCTCCATGTTCGCTTTCTCCGCTGCAAATAAATTCAATACGTGGAGTTTGTGTCCTCTGGCACGGTTGTTTGGCATTTCTTTTTGTCTTTCTTCTTCCTGTTCTTATTCTTTTTTTTAATTATTATTATTATTTGGGGGTGTGGTATTAAATTGGCGTTTTTGGCACAACACACAATTTAGCTAGATGTGTCATTGAAGTTCAAGCGCGGTGCGTTAAAATACCGAGCGAGCGTCTTTTGTTGCACACGACCAGCTGGCAAAGATGCATGACTCGGATCGCATTTGTCAGAGGTGTCCACAAGAGAAAAGAAAGCGATTCCACTTTGCTCCCAGAAGACGAAATAGAAGGGCAAGACGTCAAGACAAGAGGGCAAATACTAAGAAGGTCAAAAGGTAAGTTGAGAGGCGGAAGCTTGGGAGGGAAGAAAAGGCAAAGGAGTTAAACGTACCGCCCCTTGGTTGTCTCAGGAAATGTACCTGCAGCATCATTCCGAACAGAGGAACAAAAGTCTCCCCCTTTCTACAACTTTTTACAAGTACACAAAAAAAAACAGTCCCTTCTATTTATCCAATGTAATCACATTTGAACATGTACGTTGCTGATTCAAAGATGCCAAGCTGAGATAATTCTAGTAAAAAACGTTGCCTTCTCGAAATTTACGAGTGTTCTCCATATCTTAATCACGTGTAACTGCAGGATATGTTTCAAATTATTCAGTAGACTCCAGCAGTGGTGGGAGGAGAAAGGGAAATTGGTCTCTGTCAGAAAAAATGTAGATTGATGAATGTCTCTTCAAACTTGGCACTGAAGAATTTGTGTCAAGCCTTTTCTCAAGCCTCGGTGGAGGTGCTGAGATCGAGTCCCATTTCCGTCATGAAGAACTTTCAGGTGACCAATGACCAGAATCCAAAAGCTGCTCGATGGACATGAGCTGCTCAGAGGAGCTTTGCTGAACGAAATCAAACATTTGGGCAACCTCAAGTTCGGGAACGAATGAAGCAGATGGTCTCCTACAGTCCCGTGATTCTGGACCCAAACACGGTCGATCAAGAACTCAGTATTTCAGAGGATCTGACCAGCGTCTGTCCTTACTTTTACACAACAAAAGAACATCCTCTAAAAATAATTGAAATGACACCTTCGATTGAGATTCCAAGTCAGTGATGCTGGAGATATTTTACTTCCACAATTGTTTTACACGGTGCAACACCCACTAAATAAAAGTTGAGATTAGAAATGATTTGAAATCTGATAGGAGTCACTGATGGCATAGTGATACACTCGCCTTACTTGTGTGTGGGCAGCGTGTGATCGGTTCCCACTCAGTGACGGCGTGGGTGTGTGAATGAATGGTTGTTTGTCTCTATATGTGCCCTTCAACTGACTGGCGATCCAGCTTAGCGTGTCATCTGCCTTCCGTCCGAAGTCAGCTGGGATATGCTCCAGCAACTCCCCACAACAAAGTAACAACGTGCTGTACAGATTGAACATGAAACAATCAACAACATATTATTATAATGGAAAGTAATAATAATAATAATAATAATAACAAAAAACATCACCATCATCACAAAATAATAATAATGGAATATAAAAACACATAGTATAACTTTCAAATTGAAATAGACTAAAAAAAACTCAATTGTGGCCAAAAGCCTCTCCTTTCACAGGAGCATTTAGAAACAGTAATCCGTGCCTTCGTTACACCTCGGCTGGATTACTGTAATGCACTTTATTTTGGAGTCAGCCAGTCCTCCCTCAAGCATCTCCAGTTGGTCCAAAATGCTGCTGCTCACCTCCAAACTGGAGCTCAGAGGAGGGAGGAGATAACTCCAATTCTAATCTTCCTACAGTGGCTCCTTAGACATTTTATTCAACGTTAAATCTTGAAAAGGTCTCGCCCCGCCTCACTTCTCTGAGCTCCTCCACGTGGACGTACCTGCCTGGTGCCTCAGGACAGCACACCAGACACTCGTGGAAGAGCCTCAGAGTGGATCAAGCTTTTTCCGCCGCAGATCCCTCCCTTTGGCATGACATTCCGTTAAAATATAGGCAGAAAAAAAACAAAACATTTTAGTCTTTGATCGGCTTTTCACTCAGTGTGAGACTCTGCATTGTTTAATTGTGTTTGCTGTATTAGGTTTGTAATTTATTGTTATCACTGTTATTGCTTTTATACGCGTGTTTATATGTGTGTTTGCTTTATGTACAACACATTGCCTGCATCTGAGGTTGTTTTTTTTTATTCTTTATACAAAACGTTGAGGTAAGTTGAGAAGTTAAACCACACAGTGAATTATTATGACTAGGGCCTATATTACGAATGTAAAAAGTTTTGGAAACCATTGATTTGGAGTGATTCAATGAACTAGTCAAGAAATAGCGAGTGCAAAGTTTTTCCAAGCCATTTGTGATGTGACTGTGACGCTGTCTCGCCGCATGATGGCGCTCACTAAAAAAAAGAAGTAGAAGAAAAAGAAAGAAGAAAAATGACAACTCCCATCTCCCTCATGACGTCACCACACCACAATGGCGTTGGACGGGAACGGTTCGTGTTCCACCTCGTCTTCGGAGGACCAAAGCGAGAAAAAAACATCCGTTTCATTCGGTTTCGCTAAAACATTGAGCAAATTCAAACCTCCGAGTGGCGACGCCCTGACAGAGAAAGATGACATCGATTATCTGACCGGAATCACCAAGAATGAATTGCAGAGGTAGGCTAATGCTAGCCATGTTTTGTTTGAAACGCTGCATTCAAAAAAATCACTTGTAGATTTTCACTTTGAATTTGGGTGTGGTATTATTATTATTATTATTGTTATTTAGATTTAGAAATCCGCCAAGTATAAATTCGAACGTGAGCGGCACCTCTAGGACTCTCTAACGTGTGATGTTTCTAGTACGAAGCCATCTGAAGAACCAACGGAACTTGTCATCCCCTTGATTCTGAAAAACCGCTGGCGCGACCCCCACCAAGACAACCAGACCCTTGGAAGTGGAGACAAAATTTGCAAATCGACTCAACTCAATGGTGATGGAAGTGGAGACAAAACTCACGAGAGTGACTCCGTGGAGGCTCAGGCGGTCAAAGAGCTTATTGAAGGTGCGTTTACATGAAAAACATCAACACTTGGCACCCTGTGTTCAGACCAAGTGGCAAAAGTATTCACACTTTTTATTTAACAGAAGTGGACAGAGTAGACCAAAATAAGATAAGATAAGATAAGAAAACCTTTATTAGTCTCGCAACGGAGAAACTCCCAATTCACAGCAGCAAAGTTATGAATGGAAGAAGTAGAACAACAAAATATAGGAGCTGCTGGAAAGGCAGCCACTCGCGGCGCCAAAATTGTACTAAAGTAAGTGTGCTGTTAGTTTATAAGTATATTTTGATAGTGTAAGTAGTTGACATAAGAGCTGACACATATTTTCAATCATAGAGTATAAACGGTCGTTAGACAAATGAAGACTCAAGCAAAAACACTTATGAAATCTTCTCAGGTACCCCACTGCTTGTGTTTATGATAGCGGCTGACTTCTTGTTTGCTCATGGTAGATTCAAGGCGGAAGCTGGAAGAGTTGCAGTCGGAGGCTCATCTCAACCTAACCATCCCCCTGTTGGCGCAAAACAAGGTGCCTGATGGCTTTGAGGATGGTGACCATTTAAATGTGGAGCTGCGGCCAGATCCTGTAAGTAGATGGATTGAGCACAGTCAAAATGGTCAGGCAGATATTTGCCCCCCCCCCCCCTTAGATTGTGCCGGTGTACTTAATGTTGTGACTGGTAAATTGAGCTGGTTCTAAATTTAATCAATTAATCGAGCAAAAGGACATTCTTCAGTTTTAAACTCAGGTATGAGTGATTTCAGAAGGAGCTTTTGACCCAACAATCACACTGTCTTTGTATGCAATCTATTGGCCTGGGTGGTTAATTGGGATGCCCAATATTTATCAGACCATATAAATGAAACAAACAAACAAACACACTTTAAAAGCAAAAGTCCCCTTTTTAAGTCAGGGATGTAAAGTGATGTGTAAAGTGTAGGTAATTAGGAGAAGTTGCAGCTTAATTGGTATTGCGTCTGTTCCCATTGATGTAATTATTGCAGGTTAAAGGCAGTGCGGAACAGGTGTGATTTTTAAATTTAAAAAATTGGAAATAGAGGGGTCAACAGTATCATGGATGTTTGGGAGAGGATTCCAAAGGGGGAGGGCGGCAACAAAGAATGCTCTGTCACCCGAAGTACGATGTCTGGTCCTTGGGACGATCAGGAAGTTATTGTCAGAGGAAAAGAGGGTACACGAAGTGGTGTAGGGGTCGAACGAGTATATCACCTCGGTGGGGGCCTGGTTATGGAGAGCCTTATGGGTGAGTGGGAGAATTTTGAATTTGCTGCGGTAAGGGGTTGGCAGCCAATGAAGGTTCTTGAGGACAGACGTGATGTGGTCACGGGAACTTGTGTGGGTGTGGAGGTGGGTGGCAGTGTTTTGAATGTATTGAAGTGTGCTGAGGAGATCAGGGGGGCGGTGTCATATAGGATGCTGTTTTACTGTAGTCAGTGTGAGGTGTGATAAAGGCAAGGGTGAGGATTTCTGCTGCAAGGAAAGAGAGAGAAGGGCAAAGGCAGGCAATATTCTTCAGGTGAAAAAAAAGCTGTTTTTGTCACTTCTTGAATGTGTTGGGAGAAGGTAAGATTGTTGTCCATGATAAGTCCCAAGGTTCCGGCAGCGGGGTGAGAATGAAAGGGTCTTGCATTGGTGAGGTGAGGGTTTAACTCCCATCTATTATTTCACTACTTTTTATAGATGTTCTAAGTTTGTACCATGGTATCATTTCCTATTTTTTGTCTTCCTTTAAAATGAGAGAAAATAACTGACCTGTTTTGTCAACCGTTGCTTCTTGCAAAGTTGTTGTTAAAGTAAAACATTTTGCAAATTTCTCTTCAGTCTCTGTCAATCTTTGCATCATGTGAAATTACGGGATGCCAATTGAGATGACAGTATATCAGCAAATATGGTCATGCTGTACTGACCCCAAAAAAGAGTGCGACCAAATCTATGCTGGTGCCACCAACTGAAATAGTCGGCTGCACCAGTGCAAAAGTTAGTGGACAGTCCTGCTGATGGAGGTGGTGGGGGCCGTGGTTAAGGTGGTACTGAGTGTGGCTGAGAAGTTTTGGGATTTGATGGCTGCAATGTTCATGAAGGATATGACGTGTTTTTCTCTTGGAATGGAGGTGGTAAGGTGGATGCAAAAAAATTATTGCCAGGTGGTCAGAGATGTCGGGGCAGAACTTGAGACTGGTGAGTTGCTTCATGGTGAGACCGGTGGAGCAGACGAGAATAAGTGAAAGTTTTAACAGTTGAGGAGGTCCAGGAAGTTAGAGGCGTGTTTGCAGTTTTTGTTGTCAATCTTACACCATTCATTTGTACTCGAACCATCAGAGATTAAAACCTCTCAACTAAAATGAACATTTTCAACTTTTGTGAAGGCAGAATATCAATATTGTGCAAATGGTCAAAATGTGGCTGATCAATTGTATGTGTATTACAGTCAACAGAAGAAGATTATGAGAGAGTTCCTGTTGAAGGCTATGGACTGGCCATGCTGAAGGGGATGGGCTGGAAGAAAGGGGAAGGCATTGGCCGCACCTTCAAACAGTCAGTCTTGTTCTCCTTTTTTTCATTGCAAGTATTGGGGAATTCGATAATATTACAAACATGGATGAAATGTCGGCATACCCCTATTTAAATATAAATAACTATTAATAATATAAATATGATATGAATATCATGCTATCTAAAAGTGACTTGGCGGCCCGGGCTCCCAAGCCGGTGAGAAACCCTAGTTGGTGGGGCTCAGAGGTTGCAGGGGTCGCCACTGTTACACCAAGACCAAATCCATGGATAAAAATAGGCTCGATGAACCTTTTTTTGTGGGTGTACATTCCCCTCCAAAGATATTGGAATGGCAAGGTCAATTCCTTTGTTTGTTGTTGTGTTTTTTTTTTTTTTTTTGTACTCTGAACACATTTGAGTTTTAGATCAAATGATGAATATGAGACAAAAGTTCATAATACCAGCTTTTATTTCATTATTAAAAAAAAAAAAAATGCAACCAGATTTCAATCCAGTCGAGCAGATTGTGTAAGTCTAGTTCAAAATGTGCATAGTATTAGAGTGGCGTAAAGCTTTTTTACATTCTCGCAATTCAGTTGTTTTTAGTCATTATGGTGGTACATGGAGAGCTAATTTTTCGGATGATACTCTTTATCTGTAGTTTGCAAGAACAAGTGGACTAGCATGAGTCCTCCTTTTCAAGTTCTATCCAGCAGTAATGAACGATTTTTTTCTGTAACAGAGATGTGAAGCCATATGAATACAAGCCCCGTGTCATCGGCTTGGGTCTCGGGGCAGATCGCTCGGCCATCAAGGATCTGGAGCCCAGAAAACGTCGGCGCCCGCCCAAGCCTGGCGAGGAACGCGACGAGGAAGAGGAGGAGCACCTGGTGTTGGGTCGCGGCGGATGCGTGCTGCTGGAGTCAGGGGCGCATAAAGAGCGCTACGGAAAGGTCAAATAGAGTTTTATCATTTCCACAAGAAGACGCAAAACAAGCTCCTTTGACCCCCGTTCTGTCCTGTGCAGATTGAAGCTCTGGACACGGACAATGCTCGCGTCTTGGTGAAGTTGGCGATTGGCGGTGATGTGGTTTCAGTCCATCAGTATGCTGTGAAATTGGTCAAGCAGAAGGAATACGACAGATACGGCAAAGACCTCAGTAAGTGGGGACGGAATTAGCCCATTAGTTTTAGGGGTCAGCACAGGAGTCACAAGCATAGAATTCGTTTGCTGATTTTTGCCTTGAATCAGTGCAAAGGCACAACATTTCATCAATGAATCAACAACTAATTGGTTATCAAATTAATCAACAAATATCGGGCTTTCAGTGGATAATAAAAACGCATTACAAGTCATTCAGTGGAGTTTGCGAAAATTAAGTCCTTACTTAAATGGCATTAAAAAGCATTAAATATGATGCCCAGATGGATTAAAACATGAAATACAAATTGATGGAAAAGCGTTGTTAAGCACACTTTAGTTTGATCATTTAACATATAATAATGGCTCTTTGGTCTACGGCCGTCAGAAGACCGCATGATGAAAATGTTACGTCCTGTGAACGAGCTCATGTTGTGTCAAAAGCACATAGATGAATACATGTTGGGAAAAGGCAAATATCAGCAAAACTAGCCGACTAAGAAACTTAGTTAAATCCTGTCAACGGTAACACGACGTATTTTATTCAGCAACTCCAGATGATCGCTCATGTAGCATCATCTGTTTTATTCAGAGATGAAAGTCCTCCGGATTTTCCCGGAATTCCGGGTTTTTCAAATTTTTATGAAAATTTCTCCGGAGAATTGAGGAAAATTTGCATAATCCGGATATTAGTTGACAACATTGAACGAAGACACGTTTGAGTTCGTTGTATTGCTTTCACGAGCGTAGCCATATTGAGGCACTTACACTAGTAACAGTAAAGAGATTTTTGTTTGTGTAATAACGACAGAAGGCATGATGGCGTTTGACTAATGGTTTAGTAGAACGAATGGCAACTCGCAACAACAGTAGCAAGCGTCATTTTGCCTCTTGGGTTATACCATCTCAACGAGAACGTGGGGGATAGTCCCCAAACAATTTTCGTCTCTTTATAAACACACCTGCTATAAACCCCAGTGGAACGAATAAAAGACGCCGCCGACAAGACAGTTGTCGTAAAAAATATATTTGGCCAAAAAGGGAAAACCACAGACTGGCAGAAAATCGTGTCCGTCCGACTTCGAGTGTCGTCTCGGCTGGCTTAGTTTAGCTGTTGTCGTGTTTGACGTCATTTACGTCGGCGTTGATTGGTTGAAATCAAAAAACGCGCTTGCGTACATGTTCGCGCTGAAACACGCACAGCAGAGAGCAGCGGACTATCTACTGCTGAGGCTCGCTTAGCTTGAGTGGAGTCGCCACAACAGTAATATCGCGCACACACACACACACACACACACACACACACACACACACACACACACACACACATTTATTTATTTATTTATTTTTTTCCCCGGAATTTTCAGAAAAGTCCACTTTCATCTCTGTTTATTTCTAGTTCGTCTGCTGGAAACGGCATCAGTAATGACAATGTGCAAACAAAATAAAGGCTTACAGCATTGTGCAAAGGAGGCCAGTCACACAATTTAGCAAGTGTGTGTGCGTCAAACATTTTTAAAAATTTGGTTAGTGGTGTTAATGACCATATACAGTATTTAGGAGCACAACTGTAAATGCGGCCCCGAAACTATAATGTGTTTGACACCAACCGTGACATACATGACATACTGCTCAGTCTTGATATTTTGGTCAGGACTATGCTGAAATATATTTTCCACAACAACCTTAAATTTTGTAAAAGCCTGGTTCATTCCTGTTAATTCTCATGGAACGTTTCCACCTTTGAAAAGTCATGGAATTTTGCAACCATACGTGTTATGGATAGCACAAACAAAGTTCCCCTGCCGCCATCAGGTCGTCTCAGCAAAGCACATAAAACCAAGGTAAAAGAGGAGCGGGAGCGTGACGAGCGACAGCGACAGGAGGACAGAAAGGGGCGGCACACAGATGAGGTCAAGTCTTCCGAGAGAGATGGAGGAAAAGATGACAGGAAAAGGAAACACAGAGAATCCAGTCATGACAGGTGCGTCCATACAACGCACACAGCAACATTGTTTGCGCTCCCCACCATAATCAGGTCGAATATTGGTTATTTCTCCAGGGAGAAGCCTCCGCAAAAAGAGGCAAGGCAAGCAAAGGCGCCGCCCTGCTGGCTCCAGCGCGACTTGAAAGTTCGTTTTGTAGATAAAGATTTCAAGGGGGGAAAATACTACAACTCAAAGGTATTCATTCCGCCTATTACCGGTAGTTTGATCTAGTTTCATCTATTTCACAACCTTCATTGAGACAAGGCAAATATTTGTTTCGGGGACTTTGATGGTCATTTTATAAACTGTAAATCACAGAGAAGTCCTCGGTATAGGAAAAAAACAATACATTGAGAACTGTATTACTGTAGCCAGTGTTTAAAACGAAAACATGCAATTAAAAAAGGGCGGGGCAATGTTATTGTCATGGATTTATCAGTGATACCCTGAATTGGCCTGATTGTCGGTAGGGTCGAAAAGAGGCATGTAAACCTTGCAATGCAATCTTTGCATTCATTTCACATCGCTTCCAAGTTCAGCATGTAGAAATGGATATACATGACATTTTGACGAACGAAACCAAAACATGTTTAATGATTTTGGGAGGTGTCACACTTTGTTTTGCATTTCTTTCCAATACATTATGTGCCACAGAAATCTCAAATTGATCTGAAATTGATTAGATCAAAATCAAGCCACGTTCTTAACGTTGTTCTTTTCAGATGCGTGTGGAGGATGTCTTAACGCCATCGACCTGCATTTGCCGAACTGAAGAAGGAAGACTGATAGATGGTAACTTAGTCTAGAGATTGAATGTCTTTTTGTATGGGGGCTGTTTTTTCTATTTACTAGAGTGAAAAATGAACCATGTTTTGTCCTGTGACAGATGTGAAGCAGGACATGTTGGAAACAATAGTGCCCAAAAGCGAATATGACGCCATCATGGTTGTACTTGGTGACCATCGGGGACAGGTGAGTCCAAAGTCATCTGGATTTTCTAGAGGATCATTGGAATGTGTTTGAAGCTATGTTTTTGTTCGCCTCCATATCAAAACATGCACGTGTGTGCAGGTGGGCCGTATTCTGCAGCGGGACAAGGACAAGTGCAGAGCGATGGTCCAGCTTGACAGATATGAAAAGAAACTCTTCACTTTGGACTATGACTTTATTTGTCACTATTTAGGAGCTTCTGACCACTGCTGAATTTTGGCAAATATTTCAATTATTGTCTTATTGTAACAACAAAGCATCATTTTTGTAATGTTTGGAATAAAATTGTGAATTTGCACACATTATTAAAAGAGTAATAGTTTCACTAAATGAAAAAATGAGAAACGGTCAGCCTTTTTAAATTATTAGACCAACACATTACAAAGTTTTTTTCAAGTGTGTTTTCTAATGGCCATCCATCTTCGGTCATGAAACAACATACAGTACTGACACGGGTTCTTCTTGATTCAAGAGCTATCAAATGGAAATAAAAGCAAACGGCTACCATGGGAAAAACATCTGGATCTGCAATGGTGACAAATGAGGTTACATCTGTCAGTATTAAGATGTTTAAAAAAAAAAAAAAAGACATAAAGTGGTATTGAAGACCAGACTGCCCAGCAAATAATTGTAATTTACGAAATGACTTATACAAGACTTCCAACGTCATGACCAAATACGTACAGTACAAGTACAGCTGGGAGTTGGTGTTACTCCTTCACAACTTGGTTCGCTGCATTAGCGCGGAGTACGGCTCCCGGACTCGGGTATGGTCGCTGCTGGAACAGAGGCCCGGCGGCCGTGGTGTCGGCTCCTGTCTTTGCTTCATTGCGTTTGGGAAGGCCGCTTGACCACGAGCCCCTACAAAAACAATATTTTTGCTCAAGTGTGGTGACCTCAGTTAGGAATAAACAGGACCAGGAAGTCGTGATAGCATACCTCGGAGCATCAGAATATGCACTTGGGTCCATGGGATCCATTTCATCGTCTTTTTTACCTGAGGAGTTAAATTGCTTCAATATTTGGTAAAAAGCTTTGTCCACTACAATGTGTTCCAACTTTAATCCAGTTGATGACTTGCAAATTATGCTGAGTGTCATTCTCATAGACTAAAGAAAAAACAGTCAAAATGCAAAGTGGATTTCCGTAGACCTCTTTTGCCCTTGTTGTAGGGTGCCGTGTCTTCCCTCCTCTGCTTTCTTCTGTCTCGTTCGCGGCGCTCATCCCTCTCACGGTCACGCTCTCTATCCCGATCTCTGTCTCGATAGCGCTCGCGATCTCGGTCCCGCTCTCTGTCCATTTTTTCAGACTGTCGCTCAACTCGGTCGTCCCCTGCCTCCACTGAGCAATTCAAGGCAAAGTTAGGACACACATCGACAACAAATTGAACTTTTTTTTTTTGTTGTTTTTCCAACCTTTTTGTTTCTTCGCAGCTTTTGTTATCTGAGCAGACGGGTCGTTTGGCGACAGCCACGCCACTAAGTCTGTTTCCACATTCCAGTAGTAAGGAAGGCCACTAAATTAACAAAAGGAGAAAAAAAAGATATGTATATATGAAAAAAAAACAAGAGCAGATAAACACTGGACTTTTTTTTTATTTTGACCAGAAGCTGAGTCATAATACACTGTATGTTTGTGCATTTTCTGCACTGTCAATCTGAAATGATGCCCTCTTTTTGTATAATAAAAGATGGAAATTTGGATAGAACGTTTTTTAAAATCTGATTAATCAAAGATTCAAAAAATACTGACAGATCAATCCATTTTTAAATAATCATTAGTCAGCAGCTCTAAATTGAAAAAATGTACACCTAATCCACATGACGGAAACTGGCAACATAAAACCCTGATCAGACAACCCCTACTATTAACAGAAAAATCTGATAAATTAATTCCCCAGAGCTGCACAATCATCAAAACAAATACATTATTGTATTAACTGTTTCAATGACTGAAAATATGAATTACAATTTATTATTCTAGACTGTTGCAATGACTGAAAAATATGACTGCAGAATTCTGAGAAAAATCACAATTTATGAAGACATAGACTTTTTACTGTCCAAATTACAAGTGGTAAATTGCTGAAATGATCAAAGTTTGCATCTCTTTGGGTGACTTTTTATATCCTAACATTTTTTTTGAAGAATGATCCAGTGTCAAAAACGCTGACATATTTCAGATATCAAGCAATACGTACCAAGAGGGGTCAAACACTTTATACCAATTGGGCGGCAGATTTTCTACCCTGGTAGCTTCATAATCGACATTGTTGTCGTCGTAATCTTCAGCAATAATCTCCTCATCTGCCCCTAGAAGGACAAAATGGCATATGGCACCAGGAATTAAATCCATTGAAATGGGACTGAATATTTTGGTCCCATGTGTTTGTTATGCGCCCAACCTTGCTCTGTGGGTTTCACAATCCCTCTCTTGGCCAAGCGGGCCAGCAGTGCTGCAGGAAGGGGCATCCTGCAAAATGATGGACCAAAGCTCTTACGCGCTCATGTCTTGGTTTCACTTAATTTGATTGACTGTTTTAAAACTATTAAGGATGAAATAGTATAATCTAAAAGCACTTTTGCAGCATCTGGTCCTCCCCAAAACAAACATTTACAATTCTCAGACTTGTAAAACATTTTATCAACAAGGTTGAATAGAGCCACTCTTATTATATTTAGACGAACATCACTCCACTTGTTTCGTTAATGTAAAAACTGGTAGGAAAGCACAATTGTATACCGTGGGGGGGGGGGGTATTCGTATGTTTATGTGTTTGCTATTTCTATGGGTATTTTTAAGGTATATATTCGGAATATATATACGGAATATATATCGTATGTATATTTTGAGACCATCAGCACACGGTGTTTCAGTGTAGGATATTTCCCTCAATGGCATGTTTTAAACAAAAGTCCAAGCAATCAATCTTGATTTGAAAACCGAAGGTAACAGTCGCTCGAATGCAAGTTACGAGTTTGGCAGAGCAACATGGTGGTAAACAAGGATTTACCAAAGGCAATCGATCGAGAGAGAGAGCGAGAGAAGAAAATACTGCAGCTATTCTCAGACTCATAATCGAAAAGACACAAGAGAAAATATTTACGGCACAAGATGAAGTCGAAAATAAAAGGCAGACCAAAGATTAGCCTTATTTACCTGCTTGGAGACAATCGCTAGCAGAATCAACGTTACCACTTCCTCCGGCGCACATTAATGACGTTGCCATGTAACGTACTGCGAGGCACAATGTCAAATGTACTGTACTAATTGTCTTTATGCTATACTGGAAAAATGTACAATTTGGGTTCTACATAAGTAAGGAAAAAAAAACACTAAACAAACCTTCATTATAAATTTAATAATCATCCTCGCTAAGTTCCATATCCACAAATCCAGATGGAATAATTCAAAACCTCTTTTCTTAATTTTTGAAGCAGAAATAAAGCAGTACCTGAGTTCTATCCTGGATTCCAAAAACAAGAAAGCTGTTAAGACTCTGGCTATATGCTCCTTATTTGAAATTTTTGTCTAAAAATCCCCTGGCTTCTTTTTTGTTTAAACGTTTGTAATATATATATGTATTATTAACATGTTCGTTTTGTTTTCTGTTTACTGAGAATTGTATTCTGACTTGTTCAATAAAGATTATTAAAAAAAACTGTACTGTCGATCGAAGAACATGTAAAGAAACACGAAATTCACCGGGGAAAAATTAATGCAACAAAACTATATCATATAAAACCATGGCATTGTAATTTCACAACGTTTGCTTTAACCCCTTTCATACCAAAATAATGAAAAAATGTTGCTGAGTTGAATACACTTTTCCTAACGTGTTACAAGTAATTAAAATTGAAAATAATAAAATAAAATTACCTTTTACTGTGTGTTGCCTTCAGTTACGTCATTGGACCTGACCTTATGCCGCCAGGCGTTTTTTTTTTCATACACGTTTAGTCCAGACCACTTGAGGTGCAATCTCTTTAAACAAGAAGAGACGAAGAAGAAACTTCAACTGCGGCGATCATATCAATGACGTCACACCCTTTACCACCACAACAAACATGGAGGAGTATGCTCGCGAACCATGGTAATGTTACGTTCGATTCTTTTTCATATCTTTATTTTATTCACGATTCAACTAAGTGCTCCACTTCGTTTTTTTCTGTGTTGTTTCCAATCAGCATGTAGAATTATTAACCGTGAGGAAGGCCAGTCGGCTTTCATTTCTAGTAAAGAGATGAGGATAAAAATAAAACCAAATTGTTGCTAGTGAGCGTTGACAGAAAGTTAACGATTGACAAAAATGTTCAGTGTCATTTTAGCTCGTCTCCTTTATCTTTCTTCCTGTATAACAACAATAATAGTCGGAACTTGTTACTGCATTACATCGAGTTTGTTTATACTATACTTGAGTATCTATTTTTGGATAACGTTTTACTTTTACTCCTTATGTTTGAAAACACATATCCGTACTTTCGACTACGGTACTTAGTTTGTCAAACTAGGCTTGTTACTTTTTCAACCTGTGCAGATGACACGATGTAAAAAAAACAAAAGATGGTTCTACTATTACCAGATTACTCCTCAAAGCAAGTACATGTACTTCTACGGAGTACACCGTATGAAAGTGTGTGTACTTTTACCACGTTTGACTAACACAACCTTTACACTCCCAAGATCCTGCCAAAGTACTGGTTGTCTGTTCATTTTAAAGAAATAACAAATTCGCCCATATTCCCCAAGATCAAATATTAGTCCCACAATAAAATAATTAAAGTTAGAGCAAATACTGTAAGAGCAGATAGTATGCATATGATTATCAGTTATCAATAATAAATATTGTGTACAGTCTATTAAAAGTTGTGTAATGTTGCAAATGTTTTTCAGCCCGTGGAGGATAGTGGATGACTGTGGAGGTGCTTTCACTATGGGTGCCATTGGCGGGGGGGTGTTTCAGGCTGTCAAGGGCTTTCGAAATGCCCCGGCGGTAGGTGTACTTATTAGTTTTTTCCCTCCTTGTACTTTTTGTATGACACGACTACAACATTTCAGGGAGTTGCACACAGGCTGAAAGGTAGTGGAAATGCAGTGAAGTTGAGAGCTCCACAGATTGGCGGTAAGCAGGTCATTGAAGCCAGAAGGTGTTTTAACTTTTCCATGAACGTCACTGTCTTGATTTGTCTTGCAGGTAGCTTTGCGGTGTGGGGAGGCCTCTTCTCCACCATTGACTGCGGTTTAGTTCGCTTGAGAGGAAAAGAGGATCCATGGAACTCCATAACAAGCGGCGCTCTGACGGGGGCCATCCTGGCTGCACGCAGTAAGAGAAAATTCAAGTAGACACTGCAGGGGTACGTCATAGTTGAACCACAATCTGTTCTCATTTTGACTGTAAGATAGCAGGATATTTGGGGTGTATCACCGATCAGCAAGTAAAAAAAAAAAAAGCGAATATTGATCATAAGATGGAGGAATCTCTCTCTCTCTCTCTCTCTCTCTCTCTCTCTCTCTCTCTCTCTCTCTCCATATATGTGTGTGTGTAAGTATGCCAAATTTTAGCCATTGGCTAGCTTCTATGTGAAGTCACTAACATTGGCAGATTGTAACATTTTAAGTAAACTTTTGCACTGTTTACTGAGCACAAACCGTAATCTTTGCAATGCCCAAAGGAAGGAAAGTGGAGAGAAAAACAAGAAGTGTGATTTGAATATCAAACATCTATTCATTAACCAACAAGCAGTACTTGGCTTTGTTTAGGAACAATGTAGATGCTTTCAAAACATTCAATAGGGAAAAAAATACAACTAAATACCTAAGTTGGAACCTTTTCAAAATTATTTTGATTTGGATGAAGCAAAGTGGGATGATGACATTGTACAGCAGTTTTAAACTGTATTGATGCACATGGGACTTTTGCATCTACATTCTCCTCCAAAGGTATTGGAACGGAAAGTTTTGTTTTTGTTGTACAGTATACTGAAGACTTTTGGGTTTCAGATCAAAATATCAATAGGAGACAAATGTTCATAATTCCAGCTTTTTTTCTTAGTATTGATATCTAGATGTGTTCAACAACTCAGGAGAGAGCACCTTTTGTTTGAAGCCACCCAGTTTTCAAGTGAGCAAAAATATTGGAATAAACATGATTCAATTTACGTAAAGTAAATGACATTTAATATTTGGTGGCATAACCTTTACTTGCAATAACTCCATCAAGACCCATTGACTTCACTAGACTGTTGCTTTCTTGATTTGAAATGCTTTTCCAGGCTTTTTACTGCAGCCTCTTTCAATTCTTATTTGTTTCTGGGGGGTTTCTCCCGTCAGTCTCCTCCTCAGGAGGTAAAAATGCCTGCTCTATAGGGAGAACATCCCATGATTTACCTTCGATATATCCAGATATGAATATCATGAAATAAAGCTGGAGTTCTGAATTTTTGTCTCATGTTCATCTCTTGATCTGTAACCCAAATGTCTTCAGTAGAAAACAAAAACAAAGGAATTGAACCTGCCGTTCCAATAATTTTGGCATGTACTGTAATACTAGGACTCATTATGTAATCTGATCGCACGGCACTACTCTATAACAGGAATGACCTTCCTGTGCCTCTCATGCGTGGAGCTGGAGTGGGGCGAGATGGGATAATGCTTCTGAGAAAACTGTTTCGATTTCAAATTCTTCGACTTATTATTAGTTGGAAATGAGATTAGAGAGGTAGGTTCAAAATAACATTCACGTAGCCTAAATAAATCTAAAATGAATTTGGTCATTTCTCCAAGCAAACCATTTTGAAGCCGAGAGAAGAGGAAATCTCGATCGGAGCTGTTGCACAAACATAGCCAATACAACAATTTGGAATGTCCTGAAAAAGAAATGAACTGCTGGTTTTCGAAGCATTTACGGACACACCATTTTGGATGTCCAAATGTGATGACAAGGGCTTCTTGTTTTCCCAGGTGGGCCATTAACCATGATGGGCTCCGCCATGATGGGGGGAGTTCTGCTTGCTCTGATTGAAGGTTTCGGAATCCTGCTAACTAGATACACAGCACAGCAGTTTCAGAACCGTGAGTGATAACACAAGTGCAAAGTTATCAGTGGTGCTTCTAACACACGGGTGGGTACATGGCCCATCCAAAGATTGGTTAGGAGCACGCAGGCTGACGTTCAACTCTTATTTGCCAACCACTTGGCCGTCGATCCGTTGTTCACACGTTAGTGCCTCTCCCTAATGTCATTATTAGATGGACACGTCGAAATAAATGTGAAAATAAAAAAGGGAAGATTAGGAATTTTAACATATTGTACACGCACATTTCAAACAATTTCAGACTTCCAAGTACCGTACCATAAGCATAATTATCAGTCTGGTGATAAAGGGAATCACTACTTCAGACCCTTGATAAAATGGTTGCAGGAGATCAACTTTGTACACGATGACTCCTCATATCGTGTGGCCAAAATCACTCTGACAAACTTGTTGTTGTCCCCCTTCAGCAATTCCATTTGCAGAGGATCCCAGTCAGTTGCCTCCAAAGCATGAAGAGCGCGACATGGCACCAAAGGCTGACTTTCAGTAGAGCCGCAGAGGGATGCTGTCGACACATTTGTCACTCGGTTTCATTCAGCCTGGCACCACGGGAACTTTGCAGCAGGTACAAAGATGCTGGAGGGATGCAGAGAGTTAACTCCTACTGGTGTGAAAGTCGACTTACCTCAGCTGACCCTGAATTATTACTTGGAAGGATGTAAATACCTTTTTGTGAATAGGGACTGTAGATATTTTCACAAATACTGTACAATGGTGTCTTGAGATACGTGTTTAATTCGTTTTGTAACTCAACTCGTATCGCAAATCCTAAGTCGTCTTTCTATATGTGTGGATACAGAGAGAGAGAGAGCGAGAGAGAGACAATATTGGGAAAAAGAGTGTGCAAATCCACGAATGCAGAACCGCGAGTATGCGGGAGTTGACTGTAATTTGTTAAACACCCACATTTTTCTTGTCTAATTGTCTTTGCACAATATAAATGCACTCCATACAATACAATCTTTATTTATACAGAGCATTCACAACAGCTGCAGCTGTAACAAGGCGCTTGACAGAACATTTAACATAAAATGACAAAGTCCACATCACCTGTAAACCCGGAAAAAGCGAGCCCTAAACCTGCCCGATGTCTTGTCCTTCTTTCCATCGTCTGCGGCGCGTGTTGGCTTTTGGCAAAGTACCTTAATGGCACATTAGTGCCACCTACTGATATTGTCCTTCCACTGCAAGAAAACCCACGTGAACGTGGTGGCCGAATGTGGTGAGGGTTTTTGGCGCCCCTTAGCAGTGGGGCTTTGAAGCACACTTTTGGCTTGAAATTTGCTCATATCTCAGGACAAAGGAATCGACCAAGCGATGACAAAACTCACAAGTCAAAACACCTCGTTTCTCAAGGCACCACTGTATGTGTAGTGTTGACATTTTTACCTCAGCTGTAAATGAATTGTAGCATGGGAAGATGCACTTTTTTTGACAATAGAGAGAGTTGGTGTTTACAGAAATATGCAGCATTGACATTTATTAAATATAACGTATGAGAACATTGTAAAGAAATTGGTACAGTAGCTGAAAGTCTTTTCAACATGGTGGACAATATTTTTATTGAAGAATGCCATTGTCACCTAATGTCCTTCTAAAACTACACGGCTATTTTGTCGTCCACCCCGTTGGCGCTGTCAGATTACCAGATAAATATTGTTCTGTGTTTTGGCCTGGACAAGATGTCACACTACAAGTCTGACTAGACCGTGCCCAATCATCGCTTGCTTCCGTCAATTCAGTCCATGGGCGCAGGTCCGTCGGGGAGGCTAGACAAAGAGATGTAGTCATGTTGATAAAGGCATTATGTGCATGTGCTTTGTTTCTATGTTCAGAATAGGCTAAAAAAAACAACAACAACAGTATCGACCAGTTCCTAGGTGGTGGGAATAGAGTGGTATCGACTGTCTATTCTCCAAATGACGTTTGCTAATCAGCTACTAGCTTTGCAGTTTGCAAGATAGCATGAGTTGAAATGCATATACATATACTTTCCAGTATTAGCCCTTTTGTTAAAGGCACTTTTTAAAAACTGCACACCACAGTATGATTGTGTGTGCCACGTACAGTCTCTCATCATAAGTTGGAGGGCGCTGTCTTTGTTTTGGTCAGTGCCGAAGAACCGATCGAAGGACAACTTAGGACATGTGACACTATGCGGCAAGACAAACAAAAATTCCGACATGCCAGAATTTCGTCACCGTGGCTGTGAAGCGACCCAGACACTGGGCAACCATCCGAGAGTATCTGACACGACACAGGCAACGATGACGTGTCAAGGCAACTCCAAATTGGCTTGGAGATACAATGTGTGTCTGCGACATGTCTGTTGGCTCAAAATCGGGCTAGATTCTTGTAGTCTGACGTTGGCAAAAAGAAACAAGATGAAGTCGTAAATGAACTTTTTTTCTAAAGATTTACAGTCTTCTAATGTTTTCAGCGATGTTATTGATAACACTGGTCATTTTTACTAAATATATTCATCACAGATGCAAGTAAACCTTTTTAGACTGATTTTTTGCAGTAATTCAGAATCTGCCCTCATTTTTTCTCTAGCACATCGGGTTTTCATGACAATAGTGATATAATAGCAATAATATGTATTTTTGTGAAATGTTTAATAATATTTATGAATTATACCAAGTGAAATGTTCAGCAACAGGTGGAACATAAATTACAACACATGGTAGAATCCAAATGCAAACTCCACAACATGCAAACTCCTCACAAGGCTGTTGTCATTCAAACTACAGAATGAAATACTTGCCTTGGCTCAAAAAAGGGTACGATGATTGGCTGTCCCATAGCCCATCTTGCTGCTCAGGGGGATTTGTGTTCTGCTAAAATAGGATCACAATTTAATGTGATTTTGTTCTGCTGTATAGAATGTATTTATTTTCTTACAATACAGTATTTTCAAGTGTCTCAAATGAATAAAGACACAAAATGTTCAATCAAGAAATAGTGGGTTTTTTTTCCTCTCCAGTGTCCTTCGCTTAAAAAAATAACACAAATGTTTGTCATGTCTTTTGTTTGTTTTTTTTAATATGGAAAATAGTACTTTTATAAAGCTAGATAGTATGAATGCTTTGTTTTTCTATGTATGTTCTGCAAACACAGTATGTCGCAACCAGGTCAAGGAGTAGACCGTCTCTCACCCAAAGTCAACTGAGGCTCCAATTTACCCGCGACCTGAATGAGGAGAAGCCATACGTAAAATGGATAGATGAAAATTTAATATGATTATCAATGCTAATAAGTCTGCTTTTGTAAATACTGACCTACTTGTTGAGTTAGGGGAAAGGGATTACCTGTGCTAGTTATCTTTACTGGTGTTGCAAACCAGAATAGTGACAATAACATCACAACAGTGACAAATCAACAGACAAGAGTATTCAAGATTGTGGACATTGCAGTCAAATCCACGTTTTTTAACTCATACTAAATATATCAGCGTATCATACAGTTTTAATCAATTATTTTAATCAAATGCTCTATCCCTCTATGAGAGCTCTGCAGCACCCACAGCACAAATTAAATCCTCACTTGAAATTACAAGTACATTCTTAAAATTGTCAACATATGAAGACAAGTTACTGGCCTAAAATGTACTTTTTGTGTCTGTTCCGCTTTATCCTCACAAGGGTCGCAGGGCGTGCTGTAACCTATCCCAGCTGTCTTCGGGCAGGGGGCGGGGGACACCCTGAACTGGTTGCCAGCCAAGCGCAGGGCACACACAGACAAACAACCATCCGCGCTCACACGCACATCTATGGACAATTTAGAGTGTTCAATCACCCTGTCATGCATGTTTTTGGAATGTGTGAGGAAACCGGAGTACCCGGCGAAAACCCACGCAGAACATGCAAACTCCACATAGGGAGGCCGGAGCTGGAATTGAACCCGGTACCTCTGCACTGTGAGGTCGACGCGCTAACCACCGGCCACCAGGGATGCAGCGTTTTTTTCAAAATAAAAGTTTTTACAAATCCTAACGCCAGTGACATGAAAGCAAGGGACAGCGATTCCATGTGAACTGTTTTTGATTAATTGATATTTTCCTTGTTTCAGTATTATACTAAATAAATTATCACCTTTTACTTTTGTATTATGATGTTTATATCAGGAGAAGAAGAATATACATTTGAAATATTTAACTACCTTGACCGAGGGACATGCTGAATTTATGGCCTCACTGAAAAAAAAATGGTGTGTGGAATTAACTCAATTTTATTTCGTCAAGTGGTTGCACAAAAAGATGATTTTACTTCATGCAACCATTTGACAAAATATAATTGAGTAAATCCGACAAAAACCTTTATCAGTGCATGCTTTTGACGCTGTATTTTAAAAAAATAATGTGCATTGAAACGCGCATATTTATGGTTAAATAACAATAACACAGTTCGGTTACAACTATTTTGTGTCGTTTTTGATATAGAGTACTGTATATACGGGAGAGGGGTTCATATTTTATGATGAATGTATTTTTTGTGCTTGTATATTAAACACAAAAAGTATTGTACTTGTTTTCTTTGTCTTTTTTTTATTTACTCTTGGGTCTTTCCCAGTACTTTATTTTATTTCTACTGTCCGGAATGTGCTTCGTATCGTCTGTCTCCTACGCTGTGACGAAATTCCTCTGGGCTTTACCTCCACCTTCCCCTCGGAAGATTTCCACAGTCTGTCATCCCTCTAAACGGCTAAAGTGTTTAATCCCACCGCTTCGTTGGTTGACCATCGCGGAGAGTGGCGGACGCTGCTGTCCCCACCTCCGAGCTGGGAAGAACTCGGCTTTCGTTGGCTTTCTGCATGCACGCGAATGCACTTCGCCGGCTGCGACTTGCGGGCACTCGCCGGACTTGTGCCACCCGTGCCAACTTTTAGTGTCTTTGTGTGTCCTTTCGGCACCAAACGATCCCCGGGGTGGAGGGCTTGATGTTTGAGTCTTTGCTCAGCCCCACGTTGTGGTGAAAAACTCTGGACATGGATGGTGCCAAGAAAGGTAAGGCTGCTGTTGCTTCAGCTATTGCTTCTTTGTTGCATTCAAATCAATGTCCACACTTCCAGTCTACTGTCGGTATGCTGCGTAAATCCAAAATAAAATGATTTCCCGCGACTCTTTCTGCTTTTACAAGTTTCATGGGCTTTTAGTTGTGTTGTTCACCTTCGTGACGTGGTTTGTGGAGGTATTTGTAGGGGTTTTGTGAACAGGTGTAGTCCACCTGAGCTGTCCGATGGCCATGTGGGGCCTATTAGCAACTAGGTCACATCTGCAGGTCTTATCTTGTCATTGCGGCTTGCACAACTACTCAATCTGCAGCTACAACCACTGCATCATTAATTAACAAAAATATATGTTGCTCATATGATCCAATGGAAGGGGATCTGTCTGCCTGCCTGCCTGTCTGTCTGTCTGGCCATCCTCGTCTTGTCGAGTCTCGTAGTCAAACTCTGTCCAGAGTCTTACGTTAACCCGTTTTGGGTGCTGGCCCACCATAACCGGCACTGTCCCTGTGTACTCATGATACACCAGTATGATAGGTTTCAATGATTACTTCATATTCAAAGCCTTTAGCAAAATATAACTTCTGTGAAGTTAGTATATTTGCATGGTATGGGTTTTTTGGGAGAGTATAAAATCTAATTGAATATTGATTGACAATTTATTTGATATTTTTGGGGCTTGATCTTATTCAAGACATTCCTTTGGGAGAAACTTCCATCCATCCATCCATTTTTGAATCTGCTTATCCTCACAAGGATCACGGGCGTGCTGGAGCCCACCCCAGCTGTCTTCAGGCAGTAGGTGGGGTACACCCTGAACTGGCTACCAGCCAATCGCAGAGTATACAACCATCCACGCTCACTCTCAAACCTAGGGACAATTTAAAGTGTTGCATTTACCTGCCACGCATGTTTTTTTTGGAATGTGGGAGGAAACCGGAGTACCCAGAGAAAACCCACACAGACACGGGGAGAACATGCAAATGCCACACCGGAAGGCCGGAATCGAACCTCTGCACCATGAGGCCGACACGCTAACCAGTCGGCCACCAGGCCGTTTCGTTTCTCCGGGTTCTTTGAGTTCCTCTCACATTCCAAAAACGTACATTGCAGGTTAATGGAGCACTCGAAATTCTCCCTCGTGTGTGATTATGAGCATGGATGCTTGTTTGTCTATGTGTGTCCTGCGATTGGCTGGCAACCAGTTCAGGGTGTACCCTGCCTACTGCCCCAAGACAGCTGGGATAGGCTCCAGCACGCCCGCAGCCACTGTGAGGATAAGTGGATTAGAAAATGGATGGATGGATATCTATCTATCTATCTATCTATCTATCTAGAGAGAGGACGAGAGAGAGTAAATTGAGCGAGAGAGAGAGAGACAGACAGAGAGAGAGAGAGAGAGAGAGAGAGAGAGAGAGAGAGAGAGAGAGAGAGCTAGGTAGCACAGTGTCGACTGGTTTGCACATCCGCCTCACAGTGCAGAGGTGGTCCAGGGTTTGGCTCCGGCCTCCGTGTGTGGAGTTTGCATGTGTTTATTTTTGCTTCCCCTCTCTGAAAGTTAAAAAAAAAAATGTTGGATAGTGCTGGCAAACAACTGGAAATGTTTTTTTCTTCGTCTCACTCTTTTATTTCACATTTGAACAGTTGTGGAGACTTCTCCACTTCATGTGGTTTCCTGCGGTGTCAATGTTAGTTCATCAATCAACATTTCGTCAGTTCGAACCAGTCTGTACTAAGTCACATGCATGCAAAAACAACAATGAAAAAAAATAACAGACAGACAGGGTTGGTGAAATAAAGACAATATGGGACAATGTCATGGTAGTCTGTTTGACCAAAAGATATACAACACTGTTTGTCTTGTTTTTTGTTGTTGTTGTATTGTATTGTATCGCTAATTATTTCACACATTTCTTAACATTTTATGCTTTCAACCTAATACTTGTTCATTGTTTTTGGCAGAAGCCCCTCCAGGGGGCGATGGAGAGAAATCCGACACCCTGGGGTCGACCGGCTCGGCCAAAAAGCGAGGAGGGGGGGCCAAGAAGGCCATGCAGGCTAACAAGTCCGCCCTCAGAGCCCCCCGAGCCCTCTGTTGCCTCACCCTCAGCAACCCCATCCGCATGGCGGCACTGGCCCTGGTGGAGTGGAAATATCCTTTCTGTGATGGGTCGCCATGTTTTCTATGTCAACATGACAACTGTTGCAATTGTTGACGTTGTTGAGGCCTTAACTACCATCTTCACACCCTTCGATATCTTCATCCTGCTTGCCATCTTTGCCAATTGTGTGGCCATGGGGGTCACCAAGCCGTACCCTGATGATGACTCCAACGCGACCAATCACAAATTGGTGCGTTCTCTCGAGAGTCACACTCGCTTTTTCACTGATTCGAAGCTATGATTGGTCCAGTCAAATGGTAACCGGCACAAAGAAACTCTCGTCCGTCTAAAGTGAAGATAAGTGTGTTCGGAATTCGACACACAAAGAAGAGTGTAGTTAACAACCTTGCTAATTTGGAATAATTAAAAGAAATTGCTTCGTAGCTTTCCCTAACTGTCCTCAAACATTTATATTCAGGAACAAATCTTTGAATTCACTTCACAGGGTCTTGAATGAATTGTCCAAACGTAAATAGTAAAAGTAAAAAAAGTAAATAATTCAAAGGAATACGGACCATACTGACAAAGGGGCAGAAAAAAGGGGACTTGCTTTTTGGGCTTTGTCTTTCAGAGAACCAAACAAACAAATAAACAAGTTGTTGCATATTCAGTGTGTGAAATACTTTAAGTTCCTGAAAAATTTACAGGTACTCAAATAAACAAAAACATTCATCCATCCATCCATTACCAACACCGCCAATCCTGAACAGGTCGCGGGAGGGTGCTGGAGCCTATCCCAGTTTACTTCGGGCAGAAGGCAGACCACACCCTGAAATGGTCGCAAGTCAGTCGCAGGGCACATATAGAGACAGACACTCTCACTTTATTCTCTCGGAATTCCAACTTTTCTTTGAAAGATTCATTAATTCTCACGTTACAATTGTCTTTCTTGAGAAAATATAATTTGCTGTTTTGCTAATATTATAGCTTGTTTTTCCCCCCCTTTCACTGTGGCCCAAGTACTTCTTTTTAATTTTGCATTCAGTTGCCATGTGCCCCGTTATTGGATCAATAATTGAAATACTGTATGTTTACGCGCTTGCAAACATCTTGCATTTTGTATGTTTTCCAGTCTATCTTTTTAATTCTATTGGCTGATATTGGCGCGACAGTAGTTTTGAAATGATTGATCAGGTATTTCAGAAAGAAACCTCCCTCCCCCCCTCGTTAATGAGAAGGAAAATACTGACGGTCATAAACTAACATTATTATAAGTATTTGAAGATTTGCCATCCAACAGCAAAGGCGTGATATTAAATACCGGTTCAAGCAGGATCTCTGCGTCACAAAGTGGATGGTCTTCATTAGAAAAGGCAAAATACTACGTTCAGTATGATGAATGAAATGTGACTTATATTTCAAGATATTTCTTTTGGGTCCACGTGTACAAAAAAAAAAAGAAGGTGTGAGGGTGTGAACTAGTGCTAAAAAAGTAATGTTAATGTGTTCAACAGTAATTGCATTAGAGGGGGGTAAAAAACCCTCAGTGACCTGGTGACACTGTTCGGGATGGTGACTTAGTTAAATACCAACCATCTGCCTGTGGCTTCACTCTAGAGTCTAGAGCAGGGGTGTCAAACATACGGCCCGCAAGTAGGTTCAATCAGGCCCGCAGGATAATGTAAAAGTGAAAAAAATGCATTAAAGACACAGAATTAATATTTTTTAATCAGGTGCAGTTCATTGAGTATCCGCAAGGGGACACTGTTTTGATCAGAGAAGAAGACAACAGCAGCCTCAGTCTGTCACTGAGACAGACCCATGACAGCAGACGCTATCAATAGCACTCTCACATTTACACATTTAATAGCACTCTCCTTAGTTTGTAAGGTGTAGGCAGGGATTACATTTAGATTTTATATGCACGTGTAAATGCTTTAAAACTTGCTTTCTTTATGAATCTTGTTTAATCTTAAAGTGCATTACTATATTTTTCAATACCAATTACTTGTTAAAGTTTGTACAATCAGTGGGATCAGTTGCAATGCATATATGTGAATGATAAAAGTAAATTGCACATTTGTCGAAGGAAATGTAAGGTGCTTCATGAAGTGTTTTGTAAAAGATATGTTCATTAAATTTCAACATTTTCCTAATGTTCTTGTGCTTCTTTATACCAAAACAAAGGAAAGACATATTGTTTTGGTTATTTATAGCAAAGTATTGTATCATTTTAATGGTCCGGCCCACTTGACATCTACCGAGGCCGTATGTGGCCCACCATGTGAAATGAGTTTGACACCCCTGGTCTAGAGTCTAGACTCACTCTATACTCCCTGGTCTTCTGTCGTTTGTAATCATACTGAAGTAATTAAGTAAGTCCATCAATAAGAACATTAAGTCATCATTATCTTGTAATCAGTAAAAGCTCAGGCATGTACGCTGACGCTTTATTGTACAAGGTCAGAAAGGGAAGAGGCCAGGAGAGCTCTTTATTGGATTTAGGCTAAACTGACTGTTGAACATTTCAATGCTTCAAGACTTAGTTTGATCCAACTTGGCATCAATTTTTGGTGTGAATTCCACTTCAAGTCTTTTACCTCAGCTGTCAGTCTTGAAGCACAAGCCAAGCAAGCGGTAGTAGCGATCGAAGACAACTTTAAAGCAGCGGGTTTCACAAAAAGGGATTGGGTGGCTGGCTTAAGTGGGTTAAGAGGTTAGAACACCAGCACACAGGCAGCCCTCTGACATTGTAATGACCAGAGCGGGTTCAGTTTTGTCCCTGAACATTTCAATTCCCATTCACATGACATGACGTGATCTCTCATGCGTTGAAATGTTTTCATATGCTTGCAGGAACAAGTGGAGTACGTCTTCCTGGTCATCTTCACCATCGAGACTTTCACAAAAATTCTCGCCTACGGCTTAGTCATGCACCCCAGCGCCTACATACGCAGTGGATGGAACTTGCTTGATTTCATCATCGTCATTGTCGGGTATTTGACAAGTTGGATTTGTTGGGTGTTTGACTTGTTGGCGTCTGTTAATTAAGGGTTGATCCCATTTGTCGACTTTAGAGGTGGAACAATTTATTTACTAAACGCACACGCGCGCGCGCACACACACACACACACACACACACACACAAAAAAGACAATTTGAATATTGCAAAAATGATCATTATTTGCAGCAATTTACTTCTGTTTGCGTGGTGTGTTTGTGCAGGCTGTTCAGCGTCATAGCGGAAGGCATGACCGACCACAAGCCAGGAGAGGCCCATCATGCTGCGGGGAAACCCGGAGGCCTGGACGTAAAAGCTCTGAGAGCCTTCAGGGTGTTGAGGCCGCTCCGACTCGTCTCCGGAGTGCCAAGTGCGTTTGCCTCCATCTTCCACCGCTTCTTTTATCGCATTCGCAGCCAAAACGTGTGTTAATCCTCTCACCAGGCCTGCAGATTGTGTTGAATTCCATCATGAAAGCCATGGTGCCGCTCCTTCACATCGGTATGCTGGTCATGTTCGTCATCATCATCTACGCCATCATCGGCTTGGAACTTTTTATCGGCAGGATGCACAAGACGTGCTACTTCTCCAGCACAGGTCTCTCCACACTTCCATGCACTGTTGTGTTCCACTCGTGCAAAGATCTGGACTTAGCGGACGGAGGGATGGGATGCACTTTGGCAGTGTGTTAAGCGCGGAAACTATCCTACGTGTACGTGTACCGTTGTAAAATGCTCCTCCTGGCGCTCCAGATTCCCATGCTTTGCCAGTGCCATCGATGAATTGCAGATGAAACAAACTTTGAACGAGAATAAAAAACATATCTATCCCAACAGTTACTCATAACTATGAGGTTAATGCCGAATGAATGCCTTCCACATTCATTTATATGAGGAAAGCACAAACATTGTATGCAAACTTGACTGCCTCTGTCTGCATATATTTTGCTCCCAGGTATGATGGTGGAGGACGATCCGTCACCTTGCGCGTTCGCGGGCAGCGGTCGCTTCTGCGTGGGCAACGGGAGCGAGTGCAGGGGCAAGTGGGAGGGTCCCAACGGCGGCATCACCAATTTCGACAACATTTTCTTTGCCATGCTGACCGTCTTCCAGTGCATCACCATGGAAGGCTGGACAGACGTGCTCTACTGGGTAACCGTCCCCGCCTGACTTCCTCCTCGTCGACTGCAATTCCTCCACTAAAATACCCGCATCGTCTCTTTTCCCTCTTTCCGCAAAGATGAATGACGCCATCGGTTTTGAGATCCCGTGGGTGTATTTTGTTTCTTTGGTCATCTTTGGTTCCTTTTTCATCATCAATCTCGTTTTGGGTGTGTTGAGCGGGTAGGTAGGCTGGAGTGGTGATCATGGTGTGACCATCAAATCAGAGGTTAGACTTGACTTGTCGTTCTTGTGGGTTCTCAGAGAGTTTTCTAAGGAAAGGGAAAAGGCCGTGGCTCGCGGTGAGCTGCAGAAGGCACAAGAGAGCAAACAGATGGAGGAAGACATGATTGGCTACATGGACTGGCTCATCGAGGCCGAGGATGTGGATGAAGAAGGAAATAAACGTCAGTTCTAGCAGTCACACTTTTTTTTTACTCTCCACACTTCTTTCGCCATCTAACTACATCCACAATTATCAACTAATTCAAACATTGACATATTCCAAAAATTCAGGTTCTCATGACAAACATGCCCACATTTCACGTTCAACAATTTCATTTTCTCTTCGGCATTCAACAAAAAAAAAAATTGCACATCACTACCTTTCAAATTTAACATGTTGGACACATGCAAATGAATCTTGTTTCAATAAAAATGTTTTCAATATTTACAAAAATCGCACATTTTCCCCACTTCAAGATTTCCAGTTGGTCATGAGTGGGAGCTGCAGTTTCATTTCTTCGTTATCAAACCTCGTATCTGCCAATCGAGACCCAAACTTGCACACATTCTTTCTTGCAATGTGACACCTGCCTGCCTTTGCCCCCAAAGGAGCGGCAATTGCCAAGAAGAAAATGATGAAGAAGTTTGGCTGGTACAAACACAGTGAGGAAGGAGGTGCGTTTGTTAGCCGCCACGCCGGGTGGTCACGTCCGTCTCTTTCTCTCTAACGCCCTCTGCCTTCCCACAGAATCGGACTCGGATGATGACATAGCGTACCTCGACGACGACAGCGGCTTCTGTGCCTCTCTCATGTAAGAGGATAAAATCTCACACCTATATGACAGCGATTCCAAACCAGCTAGCGTGTTGTGAGAGATCATCAGACAAGCTGTCGGGATTCCAATTTTTAACAAAAAACGTTCATCAGAATCAGAATCATCTTTGTTGGCCAAGTATGTAGAACACACAAGGAATTTGTCTGCGGTAGTACAGGCTGCACTAGTATCATCATAAACAAGAACATGACAAATAAGTATGTAATGTAAGTGTATCGTACCACCCAATGACAGCTGTGAGACAATGTGCAAAGTATCAAGCAGAGCTAAAGTAATCAGTGGTAGAATACAATACTATAACAGGTGTGTAGTTGGTGCAGAAAATCATTTCACCATTTTAAAGTGACCAGTAGCAATATTTGCAGTACAACAAGTGTGCAATTGTGTAGATGTCCTTGAGCGCTTTAAAGTGTCTGGTTCTGTGGAATATAGATCAGTGACAGTGGTTCAAGTGAGTAGAGAGCTGGAGCTACATTGATTATAGCGGTAATGCTGTTGAAAAGGGTTGTGCAAAATTGCAAAGAGCCACTATACAGGTAGATTTGGGTTACTGTTGAGGGAGTTAATGGCTAGAGGGAAGAAGCTGTTTCAGTGTCTGCTGGACTTGGTGCGCATGGTTCAGTAGCACTTGCCTGAGGGGAGTAGCTGGAAAAGGTGGTGGGCAGGGTGCGGGGGGTCCAGTAGGATTTTCCGTGTCCTTGTCTTGGTTCTTGCGGTGTGCAAGTCCTCAAGAGTGGGTAGGGCGGGGCCAATGATTTTTTCCGCCGTACTAACTGTCCGTTGCAGTTGGAGTTTGTCCTTTTTTGTGGCGGCCCCAAACCAAACCGTGATGGAAGAACACAGGATTGATTCGATGACTGCCGTGTCGAACTGACTTCATGATTTTGTCAGTTCAGCAATGCCAATATGGAGCCTTCTCATAGGAGGCTAACTTGGAGGAGTCATGCAATATGATGTGACAAAACTCCTTTCAATTATTTTTTTTTAATGTTCTGGGATGTAGCACGGGCAGAGAAATCAAATTCCCTCACACGCGGGTCAAGGGAAATCACAGAAAACATGGATAATATGCGCTTGTTGGCTTTTCCAAAATTATTTTCTGTCACTCAGCAATCATTTTGTTTGTCTTCCAGTTATACTTCCATCACTTTCAAACTGCATTTTGCGCTTGCGGCACACTCCCAAATTTTCTCTGGTGATCATTATCAGAACTACAAAGCAGTCTGTTAAAGTAAATAACAAATTTCCACAAATTTTTACTTCTTAGGGAATGCCATCCTTAATAACTCAGATTTTTTATTTCAGGTCATTTCTTTTTTGTTTTTCAGGGCCAAGATGATGGCCAACAGCTTCTGGTAAGATCTTCAAACAAGCCGACAGGGTTATTGACTTGCATCTGTCCCATAACAGATTTACCCAATTCTATGAAATACGCAAATGTGGCTGGCGTGCAATGATTATTCAATACAAGCTAGTGTGAAAAAATACTTACCGTCCCTCTTTCATTAGTGACCAATTGTGCCAGTTGAACCACACGTTCAGGAAGAACTGCCGCGTGGCCGTCAAAACCACCAACTTCTACTGGCTGGTCCTTCTTCTGGTGTTTCTCAACACGGTGGCCAGTGCCTCGGAGCATTACGGGCAACCAAAGTGGCTGACAGAAATGCAAGGTAGGAATCCGTCTGCGTTCATAATCTATAATGAAGAAAAAAAAAGATCACCATCACTTTTGTCCTGATTTTTGGTCGGAGCTTGGCTACAAGTGCTCCCAGTGAACATCCGGCTTGAGCCTTTCCCAAACTATAGAACCAATGCAATAGTTGGGTGACCGCTCAGAGTCATATTATGCCCCCGCCAATGAGCATAAATTGGCTTGTGTTCTTTTATTATAATTATAGTCCACTATAACTGTTCATATTTGAAGGTGAGCCTCCAAACATGATTCAGCATCACATAGGCCACCATTCTTTTAATAGGACATGTATGCACCACTGTCTGAGGTAGTGGTATTTGATTGACAGTTAGCAGTTGAGCGTAGCGTGCTCTGAGCACATTCAGCGGACACGCCCCCGTGACTTGACACCATTTTCAAGCCTTATTTTGTCATTTGCCCTCGGCGAAATGACATTGCAGGTATCTGAAATGCTAAAAGAGGACAGGGAAAATGTAATTGTGAAAAATTGGATTACAGATACTCGACACAACACAAAATTGCCAAAACATTCAAAACGTTTACTCAAACCACTTCTACAATAGAACTGATTTTCAAAATCCAACCCCACACGGGTTTAATTATTATTTCTAGTGATTATTTTGATTTCTCTTACACAAGGTGCCGGTTACTTCTCAACACAGCCACATTTCCAGATAAAGGGAATTGGCACACTTTGAGTTGTGTGTTTTTATTCTTCTCATCATCTCATTTTTTTGAGTATCCTACAGGTCACATTTTGTGTTGTAAAAACTTTCCAAATGCTATATCGTCATGTCATTTTTTTTTCATCTCACCAAAACATCGGTGTGTAGACTTTGTAAATCCACCGTCGCAAATGTAGCAGAATTTAAACGGCCCAGTGTGAGTACGCCCTGAATGACGGAAAGCTTCCGTGCGTTTGCTGCGTGTCTCTTCTCCAGAGCGAGCCAATAAGATCCTGCTTCTGCTCTTCACGCTGGAGATGCTGATGAAGATGTACGCCTTTGGCCTGCAGATCTATTTCATGGCCCTCTTCAATCGCTTCGACTGTTTTGTGGTGTGCGGTGGCATCCTGGAGACGCTGCTGGTGGAGTGGGACTTTATCCCACCCATCGGCATCTCTGTGCTCCGCTGCATCCGCCTGCTAAGGATTTTCAAGATGACTCGGTAAAGGCTGACAGAACTTTTAGCCTCTCGTACTTCTGATTACTGCGTACCTCAACATTATGCACACTGCATTTAAATAGTGAAAAATAATCCCCCAAAAAATCTCAATTTAAATTAAAATGTATTGCAGAAAAAGTTAAATAAAATTTTGACTCGAATGTTTGAAAACAAACCATTCTTGAAGATTAAATGGCAATGTATTGTGCTTCTAAATTCAAGATAGCTGAACTGTATTTAACAAATGGACTCTACTGGATTTAAAAGAGAGTTTAAGCCAGTGTAACATTGAGCACCCTTTGAACTTTGAATTCAATGATTCTTCCGTGACGGAGCGCCACACCGTGAGAAATACTGCAATGCATTTGATTTCATGTTTACACGTTCCCTATATTCGTCGTACAGCACAGGCAGTTAACATTCTTTGAAACAATTCCACTTATGTCAAGAAAACGAGAAAGACGAAATGTGAAATGCTTTTCCAGTGGCAGCCGGGTTTCAGTTTAGCCAAACCAATTCCTCAGCAACCTTCTCCAACTTGCTTTGGAATCCCCATTGCTTCAGTGATCCAATTCGTCTGAGATGGTGTCTTTACATCAGCCCTCGTATTGGGACTTTTGTCTCTGATAATAGCCGACTTCTTTGGCAAGAGAAAAGGGTTATCAGAGACACTGGCTGCTCGCACCAACAGCTGGAAGGTTGAGGTGCCACGTTCATTTATCTGCACTGTCAAATGTGAAAAAACAAAAAGAAAAAGTGAAACTTGCCTATGCCAAAGCAAATATCTTGAGTTTGATTCCAGCCCCACAACAAACAGAGTGTTGGGTCGAATGCAACACTTTGCTGATTTTCCAAATGTTTGACGCCGTCCTCTTGTTCTTCTCAGACACTGGGCGGCCTTGTCCGACTTGGTCAACTCTCTGCTCAACTCCATGAAAGCCATCTGCTCCCTCCTGCTGCTGCTCTTCCTCTTCCTCATCATCTTCGCCCTGCTAGGCATGCAGTTGTTTGGAGGCAAATTTAACTTTGACGAGACTCAAATGAAGAGAAGCACGTTCGACTCCTTCCCTCAAGCGCTGCTCACTTGCTTTCAGGTGATCTCGCGCGGCCACTCGTTTGCTCCCGTCGTCTTCTCTTTTTGATGGTTACTCCATTTTGCTCTCTGCTCTCTCCAGATCCTCACCGGAGAGGATTGGAACGCTGTGATGTACGACGGCATCATGGCCTACGGAGGCCCGGTCTTCCCCAATATGGTGGTCTGCATTTACTTTGTCATCCTTTTTGTCTGCGGCAACTGTATCCTTTTCCGCCGAGTGCTCAACGCCGGATGTAACGACTGATCGGAACGAGACGACTTAACGTATGGCGCGGTCAGACATCCTGCTCAATGTCTTCTTGGCTATCGCTGTCGACAACTTGGCTGGAGGTGGCGGGCAGAAAAAAGTCGAGTCGGTTTGAGGCTTGTTCTGCGCTCGGCCTGTGAGAGATGAAACACATTCAGACTAAATTTGTTTTTTTTTTCAGGGAGAAAAAAGATGACGAAGAAGAGTGGGATGACGAGGACGAGAAAGAGGATGAAGATGCAGGGGTAAAGTTTTTGATCACAAACAGAATAACTTGATTATCGAAATGAGATAAGAAAAGCGTGGCCGAAATGATTTGCGCTTATTTTTTATCTAGAACGAGGACGACGACTGGCAGGAGAATGAAGAGTTGAGGGCCATCGAGGGGCTGGAGGGTGAGTAGGAAACACAATGTGCTCGCATTCAGGATGCATTGAGGGGGGCCTTGCACATATTTCAACTTAAGTTGCTCAAACACTCACAGGTTACGATCCCCTGTTGAAGTAAGTCATTATGAATCACATCTGAGGCCAAAATTCTAATTGGTGCTATATTTTAGTTTTTCTCTGCTTGACCAGACCCTCGAAAATGACCACTTGCATGAAATCAGGGTCATCTATGCAAGAGCTGGATCAAATATGGTCCCAGTAGAAAGGTCACAATGCTCGTTTTTGATTGGCAATCCATTTTAAGTATCCTAAGCAAAATGACTTTTTGCCAGACTTGCAAAATTTTCGGCCGTTGACTCAAATAATTCACTGGCTCAGTCTGAACATGTTCCACATGTGATACTAACAATGTGTACACAATGACTTGGCTAAATCTGGAGCGTTCTCGTTCATAGTTCTGGCTGTCGTTTGCAGTGGCTAACAACTGCCTTGCCACATACTGAGAATTGTTTCAAATATTTGCAATCTCATGTAACTACACAAATGGTACAGTATTAGAAACAACACCGCAAATGACTGTAATCAATATATCGATTGATGAAAAAACCTCTGAGAGTGTCAGGTAACATTTGTAAGGACAGATTTTTCGGGAGATACAGCTCTCATACGGACGTCATCATCGGTCGGTGTATTCTCCAGAAATTGGATGTTTAGACTGTTTTCTGTTAATTTTCAGAAATGGTCGTAAAAAGAAAGAAAGGCGTAGTAATCCCTGCTTTGTACTTGTAGGAGTTGCCCCATTAAAGCCAGAGTTCTCCGGTCCCAAAGAAAAGATTGTGCCCATTCCTGACGGAAGCTCCTTCTTCATTCTGGGAAAGAAGAACTGGTGAGTTCCTCACCGAAGCGCCCGGGGCCTACGCCATCACCTGAAACCCAAAGATGTCTTTCAAATGCAATGAACTAATTTCACGAACCCTTTCCTGGAGTCCCGCCGCTAGTTGAACTGTCTTTCTCGCCATCTCCTCCGAATTCCCAGCTTGCGAGTCGCCTGTCACAACCTCATCCATCACCCCTACTTCACCAACTTCATCCTCATCTTCATCATCCTCAGCAGCATCTCTCTGGCCGCTGAGGACCCCATCAAATCGCACTCATTCAGGAACATTGTAAGCGCGCTGCTGTCTTTCCACACGCTGTCATCACCTTCTCAACTGGATTGGCCTTGTCATCTTCAGGTGCTGGGGTACGCCGACTATGTGTTCACGTCAGTGTTCACAGTGGAGATCGTGCTCAAGGTAGGAGTGCTCCTCGGATGTGGTCACACCTCCTGCTGCAAAGTCACGGCTCGCTCTTAGAGGAATGTAAGAAGACGGTCACACCAGACTATCCCAGGCTTCGTTGCTAAGTAAAATGAAGCTCAGTAAAAACAACAACAAGCAGTACAGTCGCTGTACAGGGCAACATGGCCGCCTCTAGAGTTGGATAAGAACAGGTGGATGTTGATGCTTCATTCCTATTTAGCCAATGCAAAATCTGAATCAAAATAGCGTGTTTCGATTGGTGGGCGTGCATCGAAATAATGATTGTAAAGAAGATTTGGGACTTGATTTTCCCTTTCACTTTAGCAACATTAGCATGCGAGTGTTACTACCTTCAGCTCACCAATGAAAAAAATACATCCGTGTTGTATGTTTGCGTACTTCACTTATGCACATAGAAATGTGATTTCGAATTCGACTTTTTACATGTGGCCAAGCCGATGTCATGTTCTCCTTCAATTAGTATTCGACCAAATACTCGAATAACGGCGTTCACAAAACTGCCAATGCAGTCAATGTTTTTCAATAGTGAACCAATGACATGATTTGAATGCTGTCGCGTCTAGATGACCGTGTACGGAGCTTTCCTGCACACGGGCTCCTTCTGCAGGAACGCCTTCAACCTGCTCGACTTGCTGGTGGTCAGCGTGTCGCTCACCTCCTTCTTTCTTCAGTGAGTCCGTCTGTCATACAGACGTTTTTGCCGGACAACCTGCTTTGAATTGCCGCAAATCATGTCAATATTCTTTGCCCACAGTTCCAGCGCTATTTCTGTGGTGAAGATTCTCAGGGTGCTCCGTGTGCTCAGACCTCTGCGTGCCATCAACAGAGCCAAGGGACTCAAAGTAAGTGGTTTGTTTTCATTTCACGAGATGCTAGGAACTACATGCTGCTGTTTATTAGAGATGATTATTGGGGTTTTTTTCCCCCCACTGTGTTTCTGTTTTGCTTTGTTTTGTAAATGAAGTGGTACTTTGAGATACGAGTGACCTGACTTCTGGGCTTTTCAAGATACGAGTGACCCGACTTCAGATCTTTTTTTTTTTTTTTTTTTTTGCTTTGACTTGTGAGTGCAAGCGCTGTATTGTAACAATGAACTCCGTTCAACTCACTTCACAGTAATAGCACTTTTGCAAATATTTAACAATTCATCAGAAAAGAGCCTTCAAACTGTCTGAAGTTTGCTGTCAAGCTAAAAATAAAACAAAGAGAATCGTACATTGGATAATTAAAACAACCAAGCAATGCTGCGTTAAGAAAGACAAGCCAGCTTAATGCAAACACATCAAATGCCATTGACTGGCTAATGCAACCGGTTTGCATCAGTCCTCACTTTTAGAGGCAAAGGATATTTGAATCCAAATGGTGGCGCAACACATGTCGACAGATAATATAACAATATTCACATGCATCTTGTATATTCTTTGTCCTCAACTAAAAATCACTAATTTAACCACATCTTACCGAGTCACTTCCACCTAGTGGGTGAAGAAGTGTTATTCAAGCTTGTGGCCAAAGCTGGCACCCCAGAAGGAACAGCACAACGAATTGAATTTCACCAGTTAATCATGATGCACAAACTGTTGAATTCTATTCATTTGTGTTATGACTCTGTTTTTATCAAATACAATCTTACTATTGCTTTTTTTTTTAGGGGGGAGGCTAGAACAGATGAATGGCATTTCCATTCATTTCAGTGGGGAAAGATGATTTGTTTTGAGTGTTTTGAGTTACGAGCATGGTCACGTAAGTCATATCAACTCGTATGGTTTAATCAAAATCTTTCTGACATGAGAAGCGAAATGGGCTGATCCAACTCGTGTACTGGCTGCTGTGCAAAAAGTTCAGGCGCACCTAATGTTCTGGCCAGTGAGGGTTTGTCATTTGAAGGAACACTCAATTCAAGCTTGTCGTTATTGTTGTCCGCTTCAAGAATGTGGTGCAGTGCGTGTTTGTGGCGATCCGCACCATCGGCAACATCTTGATCGTCACCACGCTCCTCCAGTTCATGTTTGCCTGCATCGGCGTGCAGCTCTTCAAGGTTCTCAGCATTTTCATGCATAACCTGGTCTTTGTTGAAGGAGGCAATCGTGTTCATTCTTATCCGTCTGATGTTTTCAGGGACGATTCTACAGCTGCACGGATGAAGCCAAACACACGCCTGACGAGTGCAAGTTAGTTTGATCTTGTTTTGTCCTTCCCTGCCTCAGCTGTCGAGGTTTGTTCACTACTGTAGGTAGAATCATAGGCTGGCTTCTCCAGTCAAGTGGTACAGTATAGTGTGTGTCTCGCGATACAAGATACACTAATCGCCAAATTTGACTAATATTGGGATTTAGGGTGATTTAGGGATTTTGTCCACCTCATTTTATTTCAGGGTGTAATTTTCCTGGTTGTTTTGTTGATAAGATCGAGTGAAGTCTGCAGTGGCTGGCTTCTCACCAAAAGATTTGGTCATCTTCCGGGATTCGTCTCTGTGTAGCTGTCAGTATTCAGCAAGGTATTTGACACACTGTGTTGCGTCGTTGCAGGGGAACCTTTGTGGTGTATAAAGACGGGGATATTAACCATCCCATTATGAAAGAGAGGATCTGGCAAAACAGCGACTTCAACTTTGACAACGTGCTGATGGGCATGCTGGCGCTCTTCACCGTGTCCACGTTTGAAGGCTGGCCACAGTAAGTCGCCACGCTCACTCGGCAGCGTTCTTGGGTATCAGGGCAGCTAAGTGTGCCATCTCCTGCGTGAAGGCTCCTTTACCGCGCCGTGGACGCCAACGCCATCAACCACGGACCCATTTACAACTACCGAGTGGAAATCTCCATCTTTTTCATCATCTACATCATCATCATCGCCTTCTTCATGATGAACATTTTCGTGGGCTTTGTCATCATCACCTTTCGGGAACAAGGAGAGGCTGAATTCAAAAACTGCGAACTCAACAAAAACCAGGTTGGTTGCGCTCCCACGCAACAAAGTGCTAAAGTAAAAATGAATGTTCACTGTCGGTCATTATTTAAAAGATTGAGTCGGCAGGCAAATAAATCCGCTTGTGGCTGTCTCTTTTTGCAGCGCCAGTGTGTGTATTACGCGCTGAAAGCTCAGCCCATCAAGATTTACATCCCCAAAAATCCATCCCAGCTCAAATTCTGGAAGATTATCAACTCCAGCCAGTTTGAATACGTCATGTTTGTGCTGATTCTTGGCAACACGCTCACGCTGGCTGTGCAGGTAATCGCACTTGTGTATACAATGGAATTTACTACTGGTAACGCAAACACACATATGACAAGGATTGACAGCCTTATAACTTCAATAATTGAATACATTGCAACGTGCAACGCATTCTGGGAATCGACTGGCTTTATCGTCGTGGCAGCGCTCCATGTTTGTAGACGTCACAATAAATGAAAAAAAAAATTAATCAAGGATGCATTTTCTCTATTGATAGCACACACTTAGGCATTGACAAAAAGTCAGCTTCATGAAAATCGGTTGAGAAAGGCACAAGTTGTGACTTCTTTTCAATGCACGTGTATTGCTGGCACCCACGTTTGTGAGCTGGGCTTCTACTTATCACAGCAGTTGTAGTGCTCGTGCTTTTGTAACGAGATAATAGCTTGCTGATCACTGTTTTGGCAAGATGTCAAACTTGTTGCCAAAACTCAGCTGAAATGGGAGGTATTCCGAAATGTTACTTGAAACACTGTTTGTATTGTCTATTCATCCATCCATTTCCTAACCCGCTTTATCCTCCCAACGGTTGCGGGTGTGCTGAATTCTATCCCAGCTGTCTTCGGGCAGTCGGCGAGGGACACCCTGAACCAGTTGCCAGCCAATCGCAGGGCACACAGAGGCGAACAACCATTCGAGCTCACAATCACACTTAGGGACAATTTAGAGCACGGGTGTTTTAAACGTACGGCCCAGGGGCCAGATCCGGCTTACGGCGTCATTTGATGAGGCCCGCGAAAGCAAGTCATGGGTGGCAGTTTGCACGATCCTTGCTAAAATATGTACTGACATGTCAAATTGTCATGAGTAATAAATAACGTTGAGATTTTGCAATAATTTGGTTTCCCTGTCTACACTCACTTATTATTATTTCCGGTACTAATTATTGAACAAGCTATTAGAGTTGACTTAACTGATTTTGAAACTAGTAATCCATTAATTTATTGTGTACAAGTAATAATGTGATGAGATGATTTCTGGGGTTTCACTGTCGTAACGTCCCTCCGAGGGAAGACTTGACTCCAAATTGGCCTGCAACAAAAATTTGTTTGGCACCACTGATTTTTTTTTTCTCACACACCCTACGAAAACAATCGATCCCAAATAATGTCCCAGATGTATTTGTATACAAACTGGAGTCTCGCCATTCAGAGATGCCGGTCTTTCTGTGGTTGTCCTAACTGGGTTTTTTTTTTTTTTTGTGTGTGTCATCCATCAGCATTATGAGCAGTCCAAACTGTTCACGTCGGTCATGGACATCCTCAACATGATCTTCACGGTGGTGTTCACTATCGAGATGATCATCAAGTTGCTGGCTCTGCGGGCTCATGTGAGCTTTCACACGTTCACCAGTGCAGCCTGCGATCATCTGAAGCATTGTTTGGCTCACACCTCCGTTCTGCCTTTCTCTGCAGCATTATTTTATTGATCCATGGAATTCCTTCGACGCTTTAATTGTGGTGGGGAGCGTGTTGGACATCGCAGTCTCCGAGTTAAGCGTAAGTCTGTCGGATTGCCTCAAATGTCATTGTCTAGACTCGAGCAAGGGTGGGCAACTGGTGGCCTTTTGATTAATTAAAAAAAATTGAATAGTAGATCATCCATACGTGCATTGAGAAATGTAATATGAAAAATGAAATAAATTAAGAGAGCATGTATGCCTGTATTTTGTCCATATTTGTTTACTTTTGGGTAGGAAGTATGTGGTCCTATATGCGGTGACCCCTTCCCTCCTGCCCCAGTCGCACAGATAAAAAATTGCGGCCCCCTCCAACATTCAAGTTGCCCATCCCTGTCTTAGTGTTACAGTTCCGGAAGGGTCCGAAACAGAATCGGACTCTCGAAATGTGCACTTAGGTGGAATTGATTAAATAAAAAAATACACAAGACCGACCAAGTACAACAAATGACACCAGTTACAGAAACCAGGAAAACGAGTCAAACCAAAAACGTTTGCAAAAGGCAAGGATGAATGTAAATAGCTTGTCTTGGAAGGACAAGAAGAAATCCATAATGCGTAAACCACTGAGAATGTTTTCACCGACTGAGAAGTTTCTAAACCTTGACTCGTAGAGCATGAATAGGGTTTCTCTTCACCGATTCATGTCTGTCTCTCTCTCCTCGATCGGTTTGGACGGCCGGAAATGTGGCTCCAGGGAGGAGGAGGCCACGGTGAGGTAAGATGCGAGCGCTCTTGTTCGCGCGTCTTCTCTCGTTCCAGCATTGTTTGACATTTTCGTTCCGTTGGTCGCCAGGGGAAAGGCGAAAGCGGCAAAGTTTCCATCACATTCTTCCGCTTGTTTCGAGTGTTGCGATTGGTCAAACTGCTGAGTAAAGGAGAAGGCATTCGAACTCTCCTCTGGACTTTTGTCAAGTCCCTTCAGGTCAGACGAAATCGGGTGCAGCGTCCGGTCACGGTACGAAGTGCTCTCTTGTGAATGTCCTTTTGAAATCTTCCCCGCTCAGGCTTTGCCTTACGTCGGGCTGCTCATTGCAATGATCTTCTTCATCTATGCCGTCATTGGTATGCAGGTGAGTCTGGAATGATTTGATGGAATCGCCTTTATATTGACCAACTGACGATGGATTGACACTCTGCGTGCATTCTGGCAGACGTTCGGGAAAGTGGCTGTGGATGACAACACGCATATCAACAGAAACTGCAATTTTCAAACCTTCTTCATGGCCGTTCTGGTGTTATTCAGGTCCGGCTTCATTTTTGTTGTACCGTTTTCAGTCTGCCAACTTTTCTCGTTATGCAGTGGTGCCTTGAGATGTGAGTGAACTGATGTAGGGATTTTTTTTAGATGACGGGTTGTCTTCCTCATGAGTTTTTGGGCTTTGACTTGTAAAGTTTGAGATAGCAGCTCTGTATGATTGCATTCAATTCCAAAAAGAGTCTTCAAGCTGTTTCATGTCGCTTGAAGTTGAAGTTACTGGTTTGGTCCGTAACATGTCAGAGAAGAGGCACAAGATATTGATAGCTGTTTTCCAAAGTAAAAGTAGATGTGTGCAAATGTCTGATTTGGATTCAAGACAAAGATCAAATCAGTCTGCTTTCATGGCAGACTACAGAAATCTGACAATATTGACTGTTGAGAGGCTGGAATTTTAAAGTGAACAATGAATTGACTCTCAAAAATAATTAATTCATCGTTGCACCTCGAGTGTAAATTGTAAAACGCGGAGAACTCCATGTTTGTTCGGGCAGGTGTGCCACCGGAGAGCAGTGGCAGGAGATCATGTTGGCCGCGCTGCCCGGCAGACGTTGCGACCCTGAATCTGACACCGAACCTGGGGAAGAGTTCTCCTGCGGGAGCAACTTATCTTACATCTATTTCATCAGCTTCTTCATGCTCTGCGCTTACCTGGTGAGTGAGGCCCAGCAGGATTCAGTAACTAATCCTACTTGAAGTTGAATGAAACAATCTGTTGACTTTAAGTTGAAAACCAAAGTAACGAATGACCGTGGCTTGCAAATGGCGGCTCTTCAATCAGCCTAGCTGGCCAGTCTTGAAGGGAGAAACTCAGCGTATTATGTAAATTAGCTGTCCTGTTACATCCCATTCTAGCGGTGGCTCGCTCACAGACACATTTGAGCAAATAGGCAGCTAACAAAACATTGCCTCGGTTGTTTCATGCCAAACTTTTGAGTGGTCGAACACTCCAAAGAGCTCATGTTTCTCTCTTGTCCATTGCCGATCTCTCTGTCCAGATTATCAATTTGTTCATCGCTGTCATCATGGACAACTTTGAGTACCTAACAAGAGACTGGACCGTACTGGGAACCCACCACCTGGATGAGTTTAAGAGAGTTTGGTCCGACTATGATCCTGAGGCCACGTAAAGACATTATTTTCTCGCGATGGCTTCCTGTGCCGGGGTTATGCTTACGTGCGTTTTGTTGCGTCACAGCGGCCGCATTAAGCACATTGACATCATCACGATGTTGCGGCGAATTCAGCCCCCTCTTGGTTTTGGAAAACTTTGTCCTCACCGTGTTGCTTGCAAAGTAAGTTCTTGCTTTTCACGCAGCATCCTCCCTATTTGACGGATACGTTCAACTCTGGCTTCCTTTGTGTGGGCTTCCTCTCAGAGGCTGGTTTCTATGAACGTGCCGCTGCACCCCGATGGGACGGTCACCTTCAATGCGACTTTGTTTGCTCTGGTGCGGACGTCCCTCAAGATTAAGACTGAAGGTATCTCTTTTTCCACGCTAAACAAGAACAAAACAATCTTGAAATGAACTATCAAGGGGAGGCATGTGGACGGAGGCCAGAGTAGCCGTTTATATGCTCCCTCTTACGTGTTCCAGAGAAGTTTGAGGTTAGACTGACTTTGGCTGACTCCAAAGTAAAGTGCATTGCAGTAATGCAGCCAAGTTCTGTTTACACGTCTGCAAGTTTAATTGGTTTCGTGACCAAGCTTGTAAGTAAATATATTTATATCGCAAATCAAATTACCCATTGAAATGCATTGAAATTTCATTCATTTGTTTTGGTACCTTTGATGTCATTTTAATACATATAAAAAATACATATATAGCACTCTTTTGTACATCCTTCCATCCGTCTTCTTTACTGTCTGCTCTGTAAAGTGTTTGGACAGTTTAATAAACCCTAAGTGTAGAGACAGACAAACCATCCGCTCTCACATTCGCCTTGTCATTGAAACATCCTAAAATAATAAGAGACAATGTAAAGAAATAAACTGTAGCTGGATGTGAGTGTTCCCTTTTTGTATTTGTGTGTTTGCACTGTTCACCAAACAGCTAACAGTGCATCAGCATCAGCACTCGTGCTTTCAGGTGTCACCGTATTTGTTCCATGAACTGATGAAGTTGTGTTAATTTCCAAAAGTCTAATCCTTCCTCTCATATCATTTTCTTTTGGCTGCAAGCTCCAGGACATAAATTGATTTTTTTTTTTGTCCAGTCAGATTTCAGGCTCTAATTGTTGCTATGCGAGTCTTAATTTGCCTTGCATCTTCAGAATCAGCAGTGCTAGCCCATGTGACCTGGGATTAAAAAAAAAAAAAAATTAAAAACGATATTAACAATGGGACCGCCTATTTTGCTAATCATATTTAAAATTTGCCACTTAGGCAATAGGGTCAGCATTTATCGGTCTTCTGATTTTTTGAGAACTTGTTAGAGCCAAGACAAACTAGCAAAAGACATCTAGAGCTAGCTGCACACATCAGTACAGTTAATAAAGAGAATCTCTGCTGATTTGAATGTCCACCCATCAATTTATTATCCAAACCGCTTATCCAGATGACGTATGTGGTACAATTGTGTGCGATTGTCCTTTCCTTGATGTTTTTTGGAACTGCGATGTGTGAGCAGTGGAGTTAAGAAGTCGCCACTGAAGGCCCAGCTACCAAATGTGTTGCTTTATTTGCATGTTGAATGTTAAAAGGATGTGTTGCTTGTGCCCCCTTCAGGGCCCATCGATCAGCAGAACGAAGAGCTCAAACTCATCATCAAGAAACTCTGGAAGCGGACCAAGCCCAAGCTCTTAGATGAAATCATCCCTCCCCCTAGAGGTAATTTGAAGTATTACAGTAGCGTTGTGGATTTTTTTTTCGAGCCAGGCTGTTTGCGAGTATGTGAGACTCATGAAACACTGAGTAGTAGAAGTCTGACCTTTTCATTCATGCTTGTCATTTTCCTCCTTAGGGGATGAGGTGACTTGTGGGAAATTTTATGCCAGCTTTTTGATTCAGGACTATTTCAAAAAATACCGCAAAAGAAAAGAGAGGGAACGGAAGTCTAAAAAGAAGGACAAGGCCGCCTCTCTTCAGGTAATTGTAGACCTTTTCATAATGTTTGTGAACAATAGGGGTAAACAATAGGCACTCTATGGGTAGCAGAAGGTCATTGTCAATTGCTGACTTGAACTGAAAACAATGACACAAACTTTTTTTTTTTCAATACCTCCAGATTAGCAACAGGACATGAACTCAAACAAAAATATTTATGGAATGACTCGCTTGCCCAAATATTATGAAGTGAATTCCCCCGATTTGCAGATGACTGGGACCGAGCCCTGCCATAAATAGCAACAATCTGCAAGTAAATGACGCCATATGGATGTCACAAGATGGTGACAAAGCACTTAAAATGTAGACTGGTATTTCATTTGGATTTAATAAAAGCTTGGTCCATATGAACACAGCGTAATCAGCACCATGCATCTCCATGTACACGATCATGAACCCATGTTCCATAATTTAATTTAGTACTTAAATTACTCATTAGCTACTAGCCTGAATAACATGCTCGCACCAACAGACGTCTTGCGGCCAAGAAAATGTCGACTAATACTTTACACAAATAAAATAAGTCATTAAACTCACCTTTTGGCAATCACGCACAATCGTAAATGTGAAGGAACACAGGCAAATTGAAGCTCTGTTTCACTTTAAGTCCACGAGCGTGATTCAAGGACCAGGGCATCTCAGACACAGACAACGCCATCAATGAATTAAACCCGAACACCACAAGATGACGATAAAGTAATACTCCTTTTACCGTAGCTTAAAAAAGAAAGGAAAAAAACTAATTTCATCAAATAAAGGATAGCTTCAACAAAAATCTACAAATATGCTAATTATTCAAATGCAGAACCGTAAATATGTCGAATACACGCTTTCGTTTCTTCTGTACATATATCATCTCGTATGTGCTGTCACAGGAGTCACCTCAGTTTTTTCCATCTGTCCCTAGCAAGGTCTGCGGACGCTGCAGGATCTGGCTCCAGAGATGCGGCTGGCGATGGCGTGCGACCTGGAAGAGGAAGAGGGCGCAGATGAGATATTTTACAGCGATCACGGAACCTCGGTCACCACCACGCCCGCCAGCACGCCCATGCCGCCCGTAGAAGCGCTGGTGCAGCAGACCGCCGTCATCATGGAAGCGGACGCCGGCCCTAGTGTGATCACGCAGCAGGTGACGGGTCTGAGTGACGGCTTCCAGACCAACGTGTCAGAAGTAGCCGGGGAGAGTGTCGTCACAGAACAGCCAACAAGGTCGGAAGCTCTGCCCAGCAGGTGGGTTCCCGCTTTCACACTCTTTTTCTCTCTCATTTGGTGCTGCCTTGAGATCAAAGTTTCATTTAGTTAGTTGACCATACCTGTCACGCAAAACAGTCTCCGAAAGAATGAAAGATAGCTTATTTAGCGATCCCTACTAGAGTTGTTAATTTCCTAAACCCTTTGAAATGCAGTATTTTAAGCAATCACTATGACAGTTTGACCAATTTCAACCAAACAAGAAAACATAAACCAGATAACAAGAATAATACAAACAAATCTGTGGCATTATCACTTTTATCACATTTCATGTTTCCTCAAACAATGACATATGTGTGGACTGCACTTCTTAAGCACTCAACTTACAGATCTAGACACTATAAAAAAAAACAACAATGATTTACTTGACTAATCACTATTTACGTCTTTTTTTTTTTTTTTTTTTTTTTTTTTTTACATTGTGGCGTCAGCCGCAGAGGTTAAAAAAAATGAATGAGCCTAAAGTAAGGTACCTCCTGAATAACTCCTTTTTGCGCTTGTGAACAGGGCGGATTCCATCAGCGACCTGCCTCCTCCTCCCGACACTACAGAGTTCATAGGTCAGGAAGCAACTGCACCTCTAGTGGCTGAGCAAGTTCCTAACTGTGAGGGAGATTCTGCAAATCTCGCATTTGAAGAACGGTAAGCTAAGTCGCGATTGAGAGCAAAACGTTTAACGTCCATAAAATCCATAATACTGGGCAATCATTCCGATAATTTCAAAGGCTCAAGTGGGCATGAGTAGAGAAGTCCATGGTGATGATTGATCGCAGTTTTCAGACACTCAGCGACATTAAGCTTTTTCTCTATGAAGATGAAAACACTTACCGTTCATAAAGACCAAAATGTTGAGGTGATCACTCAGATATTTTAGAGGTTGAAGTGGGCATAAATAGTGATGTCGACATAAAACATGTCAACTTTCTCGCTCTCCGTTCTGCAAGCTTTCTCCTTTTCTGTCTCGTTCCCAGCTAGTCACGGCTATGTTGTTTACCTCACGGTTCCCCATACTGCAATGATATTGTCCCACAGTGAATTTATTTCACCACGGTGTGTGTGTGTGTGTGTGTGTGTGTGTGTGTGTGTGTGTGTGTGTGTGTGTGTGTGTGTACTATGCGTGCATGTCATGTTGTAAGTACGTTCTCGACGCCGATTGGCTGACGTTGCTGAAGGAAGAAGTCAGTCCTAAAATGGTGATGTCATCAAAATAATGGTGCTGAACTGTAATAATATGTCTAAAAAAGTATGAAAGAAAACCCCAGGGAGAAACACTGGCAAAATTTACAGATGTCCCCAACTCTGCATATATTGCAATCATTCGCCGTTGTGCACCAACATCAGCACAACAGCACCCCAAAATCAACATCCAATTTAATATGCCAAAAACAGTCTTTTTTTTTTTCTGCTGTCATCAAGTAATGAATGTATGATACGACTGGAGGGAACCCATTTACCCATATGTGTATGCCTTAGACACACTGCGAATGATTGTAATACTTTCTGCAGGTGAATCAGAAACGTTTTTTCTAATTTTTCCATTCTCTGCTATCTTGTAGGTACGGGTTTCCCGAGTCTGCGTCTCCTTTACCACCGGAGCCAGACTTTAACGGGCAGAGCCTCGATCGAGCCAGCAGCATTGGCGAGCTGTCGTATGACGTCAATGTATCGGCTAACTGTTACAACGGAAGCACCGCGAACGGGGTAGGGAGTATCAATGGGGAGCCCTACCCGACACACGCATATAATGGTAATGGATACTCGACTTACAACGAGGACGGCAGCAGCATTGTCAGCACCAACGGTAATGGCAGCACTGTGAACGGAGGTTACGCAGCAAACGACTACAATGGAAGCAATGGCGGTGGCGCACAGTTTGTCAGGAGGAGGCTGCTTCCTTCCATACCCAAAGGTTAACCAACCCTTTTAAAATTTTGTCCCACTTTGTGACACTTTAATACAGGAAGGACAGCAATAGTTCTATTCAAACTCTCTCACACACACACACACACACACACACACACACACGCACACACGCACACACACGCACACACACAAACGTTTTTTTGAAATGTTTTTAAAAATAAAAATAGCACTGTGTAATACTTTGTACTTTGTAAAACATGCAGTAATATAAATGGGAAGAAGTGAGCAGTTTTTGCCACAATTTTAACTTCAATTCAATAGACATTGTGCTTCTGCTTTTGGTCACATGAGGGCAGGATAACACTGACATACAGTACGCTGTATAAGGATTGATGAGTGGGTGGATATACTGCACTGTATAGGAAACCGGTCAAATCTCCTTTGGAAACAGCAGTAACAGGGGCACAGTGGCCATCGGGAATAGCGTGAAAATATGTTAATTTTCGCAAACAGCCGGTGCATTTACCGTCCTGGGCATCAGGGCAACCCCCTGTTGACAATGATTATTGGGTGCGTTACTGCCACACTCTGTCGCCAACAACATTTCGGTGCATGATGGTCCGTCAACGCAACGTAACAGGATATAATAGGAAAGCATATACCAGTAATTGTATTTTTCTTCACATTTGGATTGTTCCTTATGTCTTGGTTGGTCGTCCCACATTGAGGCAACTATTGTAGCAGTGTTCATTAATGTGGATTGTGCCTTTCAAATAAACAATAAAAATGAAATGAAAATGAAATAAACCATGAATTGGCAAAAAAAATCTGCTGATTATAAAACCTCCAATATCAGCCGATTAAATCGGCCAAACGATTAATCGCTCAGGCCCTAATGTTTTGTTTAATGCGTTCTTTTTAAATCTTTTGTTGAATTAATTATTACCAAATCTCCTGCTCGTTATTTTAGGTCGTAAGCCCACCTTTAACTTCCAATGTCTGAGGCCACAGAGCAGCGTAGATGAACTTCCCATCCCGGGAAATTACCACGGCAACACATCCCCAACCAGGTCTCGTCTCCAGGTAAAACCCACACGCGCACCCACGATGTTCACTCACCCCCCTGATTTGAACTGTGGCGTTCCGCATTGCCAGACGCAGCACAGCCTGGACTCCCGCCCCAGTAGCGTGTCGTCGTCGTCGTCCGTCTCGTGGGCCAACAACGTGGCAGCCGGCAACACCCCCGGTCCTGGGTCCATCGCCCCGTTGGGGCGCAGGGGCAAACTGATCTACACCCCCATGATCTTGGTGGATGAAACAACTGGAATCAGTCAGCCGCTGTGGAGCGACGGCTCAGCTAGCCTCCCTGCGGGAAGCCGTCCCGGCTGGTACTCTGGTCAGAGCGGAACCTATGGCAGCTTGAGGGTGCCGCCTGCCAAACAGAGCTTTGTGGACAAAGGCAGCGCAGACAGTCTGGTAGAGTCGGTGAGTAGAAATTGTGTGGCTCGGGTCCACAGCAGTCCCACATATACAGTCGTTCCCCACAAACGCGGTTCACTTTGTGCGGCTTCACTTCATCGCACTCGTGTCGCGGGATTTTGCAGGCATTTGTGACTGCAGACTCATGGAGCAGTAAGCACTTGCCAGCCATGAGGAAATAGTGCCTAAAAGACAATCTCTGTCATTTGGGATCATTTCACATTTAGAAAGACAAGTGCAACGTGTCAATTGCAAAGCAGAACTGGCTACACAACTGCACTTCTCCGGTAAAGTAAACATCGTCAGCTAATTAGAATGAATTGTAATACCTCCACAGGTGGTCAAGGATAGACACAGTTGCCAGTTTACGACCAATCGCATTACTAACAAAGTACGGAAAACACAAGTATATTCTTAGATGACTTGCCCCCATGGCTTCAAATGACGCCGTCACTCAACGGTTTAGCCAGTTAATAGCCAGTCAACACCCTCCATTTGCAGATTTTTACGTCCCTCAAAATCTAAGCCCCACCTTTGAAACATTCAGCATCACAGATACCACCGTGTGGAGCGTGAGGATCGCAACCCCAAATACAGCAAAAAATAATACCAGCAAAATAAATATTGATAAATAGTCAAATATTCGTTCCCTTTTTGGCAGCTTTTATTTATTGCGGGGGTGGTCTGGAATGTAACCTTCGCGATATACGAAGGTAGTACTGTATTTACATTTCGCCGTTTGAAAAATCACCCATGTTTTTCCCATGGAACCCATTCCCAAGTATTCACTCTCAAAACTCACTCATTTGCTTTGCTCTTCTCTGAAACACCAAAAGATGCCACAAAAATCACACCAAACCTTCACTCAGTAGGAATGCAGTACTTTAATTGCTTCAAAACCGTATGTTGAAGTGAAACATCTGAAGTCAGAAGTGCAGAACCTTGCAAACTATTTCATCTACAAGTTGTACTATTACTGTAACTTTGTTCTTATTTGTTGTTTGTTCCATTGCAAAATTGCTGCCGAACAAGAACCCCCTCCCCCACCCCCCCAAATTGAAGTTTTATCCAATGCAGCCTTTCCCTGGCTTTGCGGGAATGCCTGCTTTAACAGTTCAGTGTTTGCATGACTGCTAATAGTGGTGGGGCTTCAAGAAACTTGCTGTGGATAAAACGGTACTGTACTTTATGTTTGAGCTGTGTCATGGCCATAAACTTTCTCAAACTGGCGCTGAACGGCAGTCGGGGACAGAAAAATGTCTTGCTCGGTGGCAGTTCATAAATTCATATCGGAAAAACTGTTTTCCACGCAAGCGTGAAAACATATTACACAGCCTTGTTCCTCTTCTTCTTCAGATCCTGATCTCCGAAGGTCTGGGCATCTACGCCAAGGACCCCAAGTTTGTGAGTTTTGCCAAGCGGGAAATCGCCGAAGCTTGTCACATGAGCTTGGACGAGATGGAGAGCGCAGCCGCCGACCTGATTGCCCGCGGGGCCGGCCAGTCAGTTTCTCACTTTGAGGACCAGCTGGCCGACGAAATGAACTGCGTGATTTCGTACTGAATCGGACGGACGTACGAGGGATGAGGTGGAAGAAACACCTGAAAGAGAGAGAAAGAAAGAGAACGCGCTTGCCATCGTTTGTGTCCTATGGTCAACCTGTTTGTTTGATGTTTGCCGAGAATAAATGGAAAAGCAGCCAGCCATGTCTGGCACATTGCAAATTAGCGCAAGGGTGGGCAATGTATGGCCAGTCCAAACCAACAAGCTTTTAAGTGTTCACGAGTCCTGGAATATTTTTTGCATTCATTGAACCAAAAAATGATTACTTAAAATTGATGTAACATTATTTTATGTATTTCTATTCATTTATCTCTTATTTTACAAATGACCTCCATCCATCTTGTCTGTTTTAAAACTCAAATTACAAAAAGTTGCCCACTCTTGCCGTATGTTCAGGAATCACCACGGAAGCATGATTGTATCAGGACCCAACAAAGACTTTTATGAACAATAGAGCCACAGTTTTTATTGTAATGGCCTATTTTGGTTTTGCATTGGACTTTCATTTTTTACTGTACTTGAATTACCACTTTACACACTGTTATGTGCAGCTGCAAATGGCAGTTGAGGGTTTTTTCTTGGTTTTTTTTTTTTTTTTTTTTTTTTGCATTTAACTTCAAATACTTTGGACTGTATATACTATTCAAAAGAATTTCGGGTTTTGTCTTCCAAGTGAAATTTCAGGATGAACCTAAAATGCACTAGAATCTTTTCAGGTGAACTTAATTTGACCTAAAAATGTGATTTAATACCTGTAGCCTTGGAAGAGTTGGAATATAAACTGCTTCACTTTATTTTTGGAGACACTCCATAACATTTCAAAACCCAAACTGTGCTCTGTTCCGCACAGTTTTGTGGAGGATGGCTTCGACAACAAAAGCTTGCACACAAATGCCTTTCAGTCATGCATACCAGTCTTGGCTGCAAGGTCGTGCGGTGTCACCATGTTAGTGGATTTAAAAAATAAAATAAAAATTGCAATACAACTGCTAGCCAGACGCTAGCTTCACGTGAGTGACTCTGCTTTAGAATGCTCATTGGGCAGCAGCGAAGTCTCCGGGTGACAACATGGAGGTGGACTTACAAAAAAAAAAGAGAAAATGAAAAAAATATTTTTTTCTTCAGGTTGATCCCAGTATCGCGCTTCTGTTGCCTTGTGGTGTGCACCATTGTCAGCCACAAGTCTGCTGACGGACCGCTGAATTTCAAAAAGGCTGCCTCAAGACCCCCACATATTGGCAGCTTCCAATCAGAGGAAACCATTTCCATATCAAATTTAGACAAACAGTGACCCAAACCCAATTAATTACAAATGGAATATTCATGAAAAAAACTGCCAGGGGACTACAGATGACAAATAGATTCATTTGGCAAATTCTGGTGTTTTTTTTTTTTTTTTTAACTATGTAATATCCATCCATCCATCCATTTTCGGATATCCTCACAAGGGTCGCGGGGCATGCTGGAGCCTATCCCAGCTGTCTTCAAGCAGTCGGCGAGGGACACCCTGAACCGGTCGCCAGCCAATCGCAGGGCACACACACACAGACGAACATCCATCCGCGCTCACACTCACACAATTTACAATGTTCCATCAGCCTGCTATGCATGTTTTTGGAATGTGGGACGAAACCCGGAGACGGAAGACCCGGAATACCCACACAGAACATGTAAACTCCACCCAGGAAGGCCGGAGCCAGAATCAAACCCATGACCTCTGCACTGTGAGGTCGACACGCTAACCACTGATTCACCGTGCCACCACTATGTAACACGAGTCTCGTTCAATTGTACCGTCCCCTTTCAAATAAAGATCTTTAACCCAAACTGACCGTTTAAAATGCCAGGCATTTCGAACACAAATTATTTTGAAAACCTGATTAAAGGACATCTAACATTATTCAGTTCTTGCCCGCTGGACATCCATGTAGCACTGCTGGTGTCACGTTTTTTAGTTGAATCCTGAAGTTCCAGTTGAAAGCCAAATGAACTTTTTGTGTGATGTGCATGATGTCCTCTCGGTAGCGTTAGGACAACCGATGATTGCGTGCATCGTAAGACTGTTTAGAGAATTTTGTCACGCTGAAATAAAAGGTTTCTCCATTTTGTTACGTGATGATCTGGTTATGAAACTATTTAATCCCACTGTGAAAGGAGAGACACCTGCTTTTTTTTTTTTTTTTGTCAACAAAAAGAGTGTCAACGTAGCTCTGAACTGATGTACAGTATTCCACACCAATTTTTTCGCTTCTTTACTGAACGGAACATGTAAGCAGACGAGGCGCCTACTAAAGCACGAAAACTATCGAAGCGCTCTTTTCTTCTTTTCTCTGCAAAAGCGGCCCGGGGCCATCTCGGAAGAAAAGCTGCGCAGCGATTGGGCGAGCGCAACTGACGTCACGACGTCCTCGCCCCAGCTGGTGACGCAGCGGCCGGCTCTTCCTTGTGGGCGTCTTCCTCCCCTGGGCTGTTCCGAATTAGATGCCTCCACCCCCTCCGCCACTCTCTCTCATCCTCTTATCGGCGAGTGAGCGGCCAACATGGATGTCGTCAACCAGGTAAGACTTTCGCCAGAATTCATCCATTTGCTGTTTTAGATTGTTGGATTGACAATGCAAATATTCACTTTAAGCTTCCTTTGTGGTTAAATTTATATTATACACGGTAATGTTGCGTTCTGCTCCGTCGGCTATCGAAAATGCTTGATGCTGCATCGGTCCAATAAAATAAATAAATTTCTCGATCTTCCATTTGTGTGTTGTACACGGCACAACATAGCGCGATGCTAATGCAGATGATTTTCTTTTCTTCCGAGTGCTGGTGCTGCAATGTTAGGGCACGACCGACCTGTCGGCCTGTTGGCTCGTAAAAAAAAAAAAAAAACGTGCAAAAGGATTTGCAGAGATTAACGCGGCGAATTGATAGGGATATTCTCTGACACTACCCCCACCCCAAGATTGTGATTCCGCTTGCCCATCACGTCTCAATTAGCCCCACTGTTGCTAGGACAACAAGCAGGGTTGATTTTGAGGAGGAGCCCCCCCCCATCCCCCATCCCATACTACTGCATATAGCCGCAGTATTGTGGGCCCCCAAAAGAGAAACCCTCACCTCTTACTCGTTCATCCTTTTTATTATTATATGCGAGGTGCGTCTTGAGGGCTTCCCGAGAGATGGCCTGTTCGGCATCCGTCGTGATTGCCCGTCTCTCTTTTTGCGCGCCATCTTCTTCTTGTCGACGTGCGTGCGGCCATTTACTTTTGCCGCTGCAGCGCCTACTCTGCGGTGTCGCATTCACCTGCGCACAAAAGCAACAAACGAACGAATAACCCCCCCCCCCCCCCCCCCCCCCCCCCCCCACCGCACCCTGCCGTGCTTCAAAAAGACACATAGTGAGAAGTGGAGTTTTTTTGCCTGCTTGTTGTAAAAATAGGCTACACAAATGGCTGCTGCGACCGTTAATCAGCTTTGTCTAATTGGAATGCTGACAGCGTGCGGACACACACACACACACACACACACACACACACACACACATAGCTCCCGCCCACGACTCATGGGACACTAAGCAAAATATTATTTTTTGGGAGCGTAGGCCTGGTGGGCCACTTCCACCCTCGCATGCATTTTAAACTTTTCACACCAAGTGACACCTAAGAAGACATTACCTCTCCGAATACTATGGTGCCTTGAGATATGAGTTTGATTATTTCCATAACTCAAAAACATTTGCACCTCAAATCACTTTCCTGCACTGCAATGAATGAACAGTGATGAAAGTCCTCCGGATTTTCCCGGAATTCCAGATTTTCAAATTTTCATGAAAATTGAGGAAAAATTGCCTAAAATTATTAGTTGACAACAGTGAACAACACTTGCTTGAGTTCGTTGTTTTGCTTTCACCAGCGCAGTAACAATAACACCCCTCTCCTCACATTGTCATGGCCTTGCCATATCTCGGAAATTTGGAAATTTCGGTCAGAACGGAAGCCACAAAGTGTGCATGTGTGCACACAATTTTACTACAATTCTACAAGCGTACAACTAATTCATGCGTGATCGGCTAGGTACAGCCCCAGCGCAATGTTCAAACAGGTAGACAGGCAATCTGGCATACGTGCAATAGACGCGAGTGTTAGGAACACGTTCAAGTGATCATGGCTTGAGGAAAAGGACTTGAACGGAGATTTTTTGTCCGACTACATTAGAAAGGTCGACAAACCTGGTAAGTCAGTTATCTCTCTCTCTCTCTCTCTCTCTCTCTCTCTCTCTCTCTCTCTCTCTCTCTCTCTCTCTCTCTCTCTGTCTGTGTATATGCTCGCATTTGTATTTTCAGGAAAGTCCACTTTCATCTCTGAATGAAAAAGTGCAAAAAAGTAATAATGTATCTGAATAGAATGTAAATTAAAACCTTTGTGCATCATGATTTAATGCTTCAATTCATTGTGCTGCCCCTTCTGATGTGCCTATTTTGGCCACCAGGTGGTAGAACAATGATACAGTCAAATAAGAGTCACCACGAGTCTCATTCACTCAGTAGCTCCAATAACCGTAGTTGTTTTTTGCAGAGGATAAAGAACACATGCCTGTGAGTATTGTGATATTGCCTGTCTAAATGTGTTGCTCTACATTAGCGGTCACGTGTCTTTTTCTCAGAGGGCGTTAACAGCAACTATCAATTGACTTAGCCTGTCAATGGCATTTTTGATTACCAGTATGTGCTAACATTAAGTTAGTGGGGGTATTGCTCAAGCTGAATGGTTGTTTTAAATTTACAAAGCGTTAGTCTGTCATAGTGCTACTTATTGTGAGGTTAGGTCAGTCGCTGCAACCGTACAGTGCTCATATCTCAAACTTTTGATTACACGTTAAAGCAAAAAATAATCATGAGAAATGGCCAAATGATGGATTGCATCTTGAAAAACGTGTAACTTGTATCTCAAGGCTCCATTGTAATGCCATCGTGACTGCCATTAAAATATGGTACAGTAGAGAAGTAGGCCAAAGTGTTTATCATAAACAAGACCTCGATTTTATCCATAAAAAGTAGATTTAATATTATTGCAAGCCACTGTTACGTTATACACTGTTTCAACACTAACACTGGTCTTAGATAGAGGGAAATAAAACCCCTTGAATAATGATTCAATTAAAATGTGGAGAGTTACATAAAGTTATACTTAAATAAATAAATAAAACAAAAACTTTTAAAATATTAATTGCAAATGTACTGAACTAAAGCCTTAAATAAAACAACTGCACAGACACGCTGACCAGAAGCCGACTGTGCTGCCCCCTTGTGATACTCTCTGCTATCAAATGGGCCTGAATCTTTGAAAGTCATGAAGTTGGAGCTGCCATTCACTGTGTAAAATCTGAGAAGACTTTTCATTTTTGTGTTTGTGTGTGTTTCCCAGTTGGTGGCCCAGGGACAGTTTACAATAATCAAGCAACCTTTGGGATTTATAAAAGTCCTCCAATGGGTAAGTCGTTTCTCCCTTTGTCTTGCATACATGTCCATGATTTGCTCGCCTCTGGCATGGAAACAGAAGTTCAGTACATTCAGAAAGAGATTCTCCCGTCCCATTCCAAATAATATAACAAGGTGAGCACAAAAACAGCAAATAGGTGAGTTTTTGAGCAAACGGCAAGAGATAGGCCCCGCCCCCAAATTGGTGAATTTACAAAATCGCAGGTGTGTGTTTTTCTTTTTTCCTGTGGAGCCTATTGCCATCTTTTCACCGAAAAAATCACTCGCATTTTTCGTGGTCTTTTTGAAACACCTTCAGATGACACGAGAGAGTGCCAAAGCCCTGTGCAAGTAGGAAAATAGTAGCTCTAGTAATTGTTGTCAAGGAAGTGTTGAAGTGAAGCATTACAACTGAAAGACAACCTTTGTGTGTTGGGTTGGAACCTCAGTTTGGCCTCGGTTGTGAGTGCGAGTATCCTTTTGCATATTCTGTGTGTGTGGATATAGACTCCCATTTATAAGAGCCATATCATGCTATTTCAGTGATAACTTTACAGTTTGAGCCCTGCGAGTCCGAGGGACTCGCTGATCAGAAAAATATGAGTCCCATTATGCATTTAGAAAGTCCCAAATTTCGAATTCTGAAATGATCTACTTATTCAATTGCATATGATAATAACACAAACAACAACAATATACAATGATAATAGGTTTATTTCTTATAAACAAAAGCTGCAAAAATTTTAATAATTCAGGCATACAAGATTTGCTGAGAAATAGGTTCTTATTTCATCCCATGTTTCAGTCTTTGAGTTCATAAATTCTCCTCTCTTTACTCTGCTTCCAATGATGCAAGGCTCTCTCAAAGTCAACTTATCATCGCAAAAAACGAATCAACTTTAGCTGCTTCCTATGTGATATCTCCACAGTAAACTTTCGCAACACTTGTTTTAATGTTACACAACTTGGAAATCGTCTGCTTCCCGCGAGGTGAAGGCCGATCTCGCCAATCTCGTCTCGCGAGAACGGAAATCTCGTCACACGAGACTACTTAACACGAGATCAAAACAACGATGGCGGTGATGGTCAAACTGTGGTCGTTGCTGGAAATAAAGATTTACCGTAGGTTTTTTTTTTTTTTGTTTTGACTGAGAAATTTCCTTTTGTCCCAAAAACGCACATTATTTGGAACTGTGCGTCCCGCGGGAAAATTATGCGTCAAGGACGTGGGACGCAGAGGTAACGAGATGGCTGCTATTTTAAGTTTGCCACAGTTAATGATAGACATGCACAATGCTGATCTAATTTCTTGTGAAATAAGAGTCATTTTGGTGACCATTTTTCTAACCCGGAATAAAGACACCTGGTTCACGAATACAACGTCTCCACTGTGCCCACACAGTTCATCGGTAGACTCGAGGGGCGTTCTATGACTGCTCACAAAGTAGGACATCTCACAATTGCTTATAATAAAAATAACAATTCAATGCGCCAAACAACAATGACAAGTAATCGAGCACATCGCAGTGGGTATGTGGAAACATTTTATAATTTATTTGACGCACCAAAATCAGAACAGCCATATTTTAACTCAAGTTGCAGGGACAGCTGCTCTGACAGAATGGACGTGTGTTTAGTGTGCAATGGCAGTACGGGGGTGACGCCTCAATTTGTGACGTCACAAAGCGAGGACCAGGAAGTTTTCTTAGATTGGGCCGAGCTCATGCTTCGAGATGATGGTGCTTGGAATGAGCAGGAATGCTCCAAAAACATCATTTTGGAGATGTTTTGGGTGAGGAATTGGCATTTTAACATGCTTAAAAGCTCCAAAATGTTGATTTATGGATTTGATATGGGTCCTTCAAATGCTGCTTTCAAATCATCTGGAAAATATTTATTTTTAATGATAACGTTATGAATTAGAAATGATATTGAATGTTATTAAACTCTTTTGGCATCTTATTTAGTATTTAACGTTTGGAAATATTCATAGAGTTGACTCCCACTATTCGCCGTGGACAGGCACCAGGCCCGATCACAAATATACCCGCAAATAACTGATTCTTGTAATTGCCTGTGAAAAAATACCTTTTGCAACCCCTATGATGGTTTGCTTCCTAGTCTGTCCTCTTTTGAAGTGGCCAGTACATTTTTCAATTTTCTTTTTACGTCAACTCGATGTATCCTCCTCATCCATTGGTTCCGGTGTATGAAGTTAGATTATTTAGTCATCAAACCATAGATGTGGTGGCCATATTGGATGGGGCAAGTTTCCATCAGTGGTGGACAATAAATGACGTCGGCTTTCATGGTAATGTCATTTCAGCATTATTGCCCAATACACGTGTATTGAACGAGGTCCAACTGCGCATCTCACATTTTCGGAGAGTCTATCAGCAATGTTCTGTGTGCCCAAACTGGAAATATGTCATCATTTGAGATGCCAGAGATAAATTAATCAATATTACCATTTATTATTTTAGTAATAACTGCATAGTTGGGGGCATCAGTAAATTTTTGACGCATTCGTCTTTTGTCAGCGGCCTGGGCTCAGAGCAGTCACTATTTGTCCGTCAGTATTTCAACCCCAACCAAACTGTTATCGTTAATCCGTTATGTCATATTAACCACGCTTCCATCAGTAAATTTCACTAGTCCTTCAATCAACAGTCTCTCAGTTCCTGGATTAATGTGCCTCATGAATTTATGGAAACTGAAACCAAGGTGCAAAGACGATCATTTCCTCTTCTTCTTCTTCTTCTTCTTCTTCTTCTTCTTCTTCTTCCACTACTACTACTACTACTACTACTACTACTACTACTACTACTACTACTCTTGATTTATTGGTGGATTACAGCTCTTTGGCAAATACTGCCACATACTGTACAGGAAGCGCATTGCGTTTTCATATGTAGTTCATGCAGTTCACTGAAGGAACGCCGCTGTGGTCACCCCTGCAAACAAACATAAGGAGACAGGCGGGGTGTGTTTCTGTCAGTCGTCGGTGAAACAGGATCGTCAGTGTCAGTACTTGACCCGGTTAGTGACGATTGCACTGAGGGACGAAAACCTCCACCCGGCAGTGTGTATTCCGTCATTTTTTTGAAGTTTCTCGGTATTCGTTAGCAAAAGGGACCTTCCGTCACGACGGACGGAATGCCCACCTCTGAACTCTATTCTCTTCGCTTCGTCTTGCTGGTCTAAAAACAGATTTACATGTATTTTGAAGTGCTTTTTTTCAAAACAGTTTTTCATTTTCATTCTTCAATTTTTATTCTCTTTCAGTGTGACTCAGTTGTAATGACTGCATTGCTCTATTGACGAGCCGCCACTGGGCGCACGCCCAAACACAACAAGCTCTTGTCATTATTTTCAGATCAAGTCAACAGCGATCAATCGTTTTTCTGCCAACAGGATGTACCTTGGCATGTATTGTTTTCAAATATCGTGACGTCTACAGCACATGCATATCCTTTTTCCACAAGTATTCCTTGGCAACGCAGTTCCTGTAGTGACGGTTGGCCTGTGCAGAGGACACCAAGTGCGGGTGGGGGCTGCTGATGGGGGCGGTCCTTGCCTGAGTCATTGACTGGAGGACATGACCTCTGCGTTGCAGCGCGCTTTATTTCATTTCCTGTTGGCTGTGCACAACCCCCTTGCCGCACGATGGAGCCAGCAAACTGCGGCGTTGGATGAAGCCATATTTGTTGTGGAGAGGCGACGGGGCGGAGTGGGGTGGGGGTGGGGGTGGCAATTAATAAACACAGCTGTGCTTGCGGAGCATCTCATCCGAGGTGGCTTTTCCCTGTGGCGATCACGCGCGGTGTGTTGGTTGGTTCCGCGCTGACGAGCCTTCGGGGTCCCACGTAGACGTTCCTTTCTGCTTCAACTGACAAGAGAGAAACAACCGTGCTTGTTATTATCCATGTGAGAGTGAAGATGTGTCATGCTCATCATTTTCTACAAATTCCATCCAAACAATTCATTGACCAAAACCTTGCAACCTCTCTTGGGATTTTGACCCCCAGATTCTTTTTATTTATCTTCATGCATAACTGCATGATAACTGATTTCACAAAGATTAAGTATATTATTATATGAACTAGAGTGGCATCTCACCGTGATTTTAATCATGGATTATTCTGTCGATTGCTTTTTTTTTTTCTTTCAAATAATTGATGCATCATTCAAAAATGGTACCTTATTTCTAATTGACAGTGCAGGAAAGTCACAAAGAAATTGATTCAGATTCACAGAATGAATGAGTCGTAGTTCTAGGATTGACCACCATTTTCCAATAATTTAAATCAAATGCTAATAACTGATAAAGAAACTTGTTCAACAATTGTGAACATTTTTGGAAGCTTGAGTGTTGAATTGGGCTCAGTATTGAAGCCTCACAGTTACACCATACCCATTGGTAGAAAACAAGGAAGTGAGAGACAAGGATCTGTTTCTTCTTCCTCTTTTTCTTCTTCTTCTTCTTCTTCTTCACAGTATATTGATCAGTACTGCATTACAATAAGGCTACAATGAGGGCAACTGAACCATGTATTAATGTGAAAGACAGGTAACTTACTGTATTTCGCATAATTAAAAGTATAGATTTAAACCATTACAAAAGACAAAAATCAAATGTCAACAATAATCCAAACAAATTTCTAGGTTTATCACTTCAAATTTTATCAAGACACTCTATTGCTCAATCTATAAAATATATATACATTTATACTGCGATTGGCTAGCAACCAGTTCAGGGTGTATCCGCCTACTGCCCGAAGACAGCTGGGATAGGCTCCAGCATGCCCCACAACTCTTGTGAGGATAAGCGGATCAGAAAATGGATGGATAGATATCTATTTATATGAAAAATAAAGCCAATCAATCGACCGAAATGAAGCATTTTCTTTTTTTCAAAATTGCAGCCTTTGCGAAAATGAAAATTGCATTCTATTACAATGTGATGTTGACTTGAATTTGATGAATTGCAAAGAATCAATTCAGCCGCAACGACACGTATTTTATTTCAACTTGACACAGTGGCTACAAGTAGTACAGTTCAACAGTATGAGCCATGTCATTTGTTAGACAACTGGCCGTAAAAGGTGCCTGAGCCATCATTTGGACGCCACTGATTTTTGCTCTGCAGCTTCTTCTGAGGCACTGCTGCACCGCATGCCTCCGTAGTCATGCCTTTGTCATCATGACTCTGTAGTCCTTCCCTGGAGGAGTGCGAGTGTGCCGGCACCTCCTTGGGTCACTGCCAGCCAACCACCAATCAGCAGCCTGGCCTGTGAATCATCGGGCAGAGCGCAGGAGGAGTTGCTTCTCTTTCAGGATTCAGATGGCCATGCGCAAGCAGCAACACAATGAGGGCTGGCTCTGCACAAACATTAAAAAATATTGCCGAAAGCTATTACATTTTATCTATCTATCTATCTATCTATCTATCTATCTATCTATCTATCTATCTATCTATCTATCTATCTATCTATCTATCTATCTATCTATCTATCTATCTATCTATCTAATCTAATCTAATCTAATCTAATCTAATCTATCTGCTTTTGTGCTCTGGCCAAAGCCATGTCTAATATAGAGTATTACCTAGCACCATCTGGAAGCATCTTAGTGCTAAGCAACTACAGTGGTCCCTCGAGATATGAATTATAGACATGTGACTCAGAACACATTTCCTCATTAAAATGAATGAAAATGTTATTAATTCGTTCCAGCTTTGCCATCGCAAAAACCCAATTTTCTTTCAGTAGTACCGGTACTCTATATTATTGTACTTGGTTAAAAAACATATTGCAATTACATAACCTCTGCTTAGTTCTTTTATATTTAATGCTCACTATGCTTATAGTAACTACCAGAAGACTGCAGATTCTCAGTTGAGCTAAATAATGGATGTCAGGAAGATCGAGAGATGGCCGTGGAGCCTTTTCCTGTGAGATTGCCGAAGAAGGTCAAATCTGTCCAAACTGGTTCCTATTCTCTATACTCCCTTGACTGCCCATCCACTCGGGGGCGACTGCCTAGCCTAACCCATGTCACTCTGTGCGACTCTACAGTCTAAACTGTTTCCAACTGGATATGTGTGCCAGAGTGCAGATACTGTAGATAGGAAGATGTTGAGCCAGAGAGAAAGGTCACAGTGATGCAGTGGCCTAGCTCAAGTCATTTATCTAATTATTAATTAACCCTTTCAGGGACAGTGGTTACTACAGTGGACAGCTTATCATGTTATCAGGTTACAGGGTGCATGAACAGGTTAATATCTAAACTAACAGCATCTTATACATCGGGGCGCATGACAATTTAATGCAGTTATGCAGACACAAACAAACCTGAACATTTTCACAATTATTGACTAAGTAAGGTGCTGTAAAAAAGGTCATGTTTTTGCAGAAGACATAAAATTATACACCAGTGAGTCTTTTATTATCTGTCTACATGTGTTGATCCTCTCTTTTTGTTCAAATATAAGCCCAACTACGGCCTTTTCCATTATGTGTTAGCATTAAGCTAGCGGGGTTATTGTTAGGATCTATCCCTACCTTTTCTTGGAAATGCTCACCGATTCCCATTTTTGGGGCTCTTTCTGAAACACCCTAAAATACAATACAGTACATCCTTATTCATATGATGCTTTCACAACAGCTGCAGCTGTAACAAAGCGTTTCCCAGAACATTTAACATAATGCCACAAAATGACAATGAAATCAAATAATCTGTAAAAACATTTTTTTTTCTCTGGGGTTCAATTGATATTAACAAGTTTTTGTATTATATTTTGTGCCTTATTTATGGGTTAAACCACTGACTCTGAACCTCGATCGAACCCCAGGGGTTCGCTGAATCGGTCTCGGGTTCGACGGAGCCTCTGCCATGGAGGTTAAGACACACCCGACTCAAGATGTCAATTATTTATGGCACGCCCGTTTGGCCATCACTGGCTGCAGATGATCACATGACATTGCTTGTCCAATCAGTGCTGCGGGAAATTTAGTTCGCTCAGTAGTCACCGTGTGACTGTCGTGATACAATTTACAAAAAAAAAAAAAAAAAACCCTATACTTCGGCCATGTAATTTTATTTACTTGTTTCTGTTTTTAATGTGTTTTTTTTAATGTCTTGAATTTGTAATGAAGGGTTGGCTGAACGTGCATATGAACTGGTTGGGTTCGGTACCTCAAACAAGGTTAAGAACCACTGGTTTAAACATTTAATATGGTCATTATAAAGAGTTTTATTGGGCATTTACTGGCAGTTTTTGGCTATTCATAGCAGCTAGGTTCCTATCCTGACCAGAAGGTGGCAGTGTATGTAAGTGGTCAACGTTTATACAATGCATTTGATGGTACTAGATCAGTGGTTCTTGACATTGTTCGAGGTACCGAACCCAACCAATTCATATGCATGTTCACCGAACCCTTCACTACTGAAAAATAAAAATCTGATTCAAGAAGTGTTCCTTCAGTTTTGCCGGTGAGAGACTAGAGTTGCTCAACTTGGCATGACAAATCATGCAGATAGGATGTTGAGTCCCATCAAGTTCCGTGATGCATGTGAATCCACGTGGTACATATTCGTCCGACCACTTAGTTTTTTTTTTTTTTTTTTTTTTGCTCGACATAGCATGGATTAAAACTTTTTTTTTTAAAAATCACATGACGTACTATCATGACAGTCACATGTTGTCTACTGAGCGAACTAACTTTCCCGCAGCACTGACTGGACAAGCAATGTAACGTAATCATCTGCAGCCAGTGATGGCCAAGCGGGCATGTCAGAACTAATTGACATGTTGAGTCGGGTGTATCTTAACCAACATGGCCGAGGGTCCGTCGAACCCCTGAGACCGATTCACCGAACCCCTGGGGTTCGATCCAACTGCTGTAAAACAATAACAGACAAAATATTCTACTGCAATGGTACGGCTAGTAACAACGGCTAGTAACTAACATCTAGTACATGTACAAGATGTTAACAATATGTAAAACGAGTTGAAAAAAGGCAAAGCCTGAGGCAGGTTGTCCTAATTCATGCATGAAAGATAAGCGCATTGCAAATTGTCCTTATCTGTGGTGCAAATGCATCTGAGGGCAACTTTGTGCTACCACTTCTTCCATGTGTGACTCACAGAGCGTCGCCCACCTACCAGCCCTCTTCCTGTCTCGGGGGAACCGTGCTGACAAAGCAGCGATTTGACGGATGCAACAAGACGTGCAGTTCCCAAATAAAGCTCAAGTGAAGCTCAACCATGCACACTTCGGGAACAACTTGTGTCTGCCTGCTTTGGCCGCCATTCCATGTTGAGCTTCCAAATCAATCACCACTCCGTGCTGTTGCTTTCTTTAATTTGCTGCTTTGGTCAGTCATGGTGTCTATACTGTACACTGTGCTTGTCTGCAATTTAAAATGATCAAAACAAGGCACATGAATAGACAATTACAACGTCCAATGGCTGGTGAGCTATTTTTTAGCTTTTGGCTTGCAACCTACTCACGTGGTCCATGACGGCTCCCTGTTGCCTGACTGCACGATGTTGGTGGGAGTCTGAAGCACACTTGAATCTCAAATGTTTTACTTGTACCCTGCCAAAATGCCTGCCATGCAACAGCTCATATCGCAGTCAAGCCAAATGTATTTCAAGGCACCATTTTTCCATAATGTGAGTACTTGTTCTCTATACGAGCCTTGCGATTGGCTCGTGACTAGTCCAGGGTGGACCCACCTCTCACCCAAAAGAGGAAATATGTCATGTCAGGGTCGCACTGGTCCCAAGCTTGATCTGATCCATTCCGATGTTTTCCCTCTGAAATGTCACCAGCAGCTTCACATTCTCTTTACACCCAACTGTTAACATTGATTTTCCTGTGTGTGCCATTGACTTGGAATCGAGCGATGAAGTGTGAGAAAAGCAATAGCAGGCAGATGGTTTGTGTGTGTGAGGGAGAGAGTTTTTCGAGGGGACTATGTGTCTTCTCGCCACAGTCAAGCTGACATTCATCCAGCATGCCAGCATGGATAGAAACCAGCCTCTTGCTGTGTGGCGCTGCCAATAGCGTTGCCATGGCACCAAACACCATTGCCGCTCTCATCCCGGCGGGCGCCTAACCCTTCTCCAATTCATCACTTCTCCTTCCATTCACGCATCACCATAAAAGATCAGCTCTTGGAAGGCTCCCGTTTACATTCAGTTTTGACTTTCTATTGTCACATTCCAGCCACAACGCCGCAGGAGGCCAAAGTGCCATGATCCAATCTGCTCGTGCGGGCCGTTCCTTTACTATGGCACGCTTGATTTAAAGTATTACCTGCTGCCGGGATAATCCCTTAACCAGCAAACCCCAGCCCTCACTGATGAGTGAGGGTTTTCCCCTCCACTTTCAAAATACAGCTGGCGCACCAAATGCTCATGGTAGGTTTTGACACTC